TGGTTTCTTTATAATTGATGGAGGTTTTTGCATTTCAATTGTATAAATGGAAAAAGGAAAGAATTTTGAGCATATTAAATTTCAGTGGGGTGTGACAGCAAAGAGACCATTTAGCTGATGGGCTTGATATCCATCTGCCAAAGGGAAAATCCTCCCGCATTGTCCTTTGTGTACAAATTAGATTTTAAGACAGGGATATTATTATGTTTCCTTCTTCATGTGCAAAGCCCTGTTTTGAGTAAGGTCTTCCAATCAGGCTAATTGGCCTGTTCTAACCACCCACTTTTTAACCTTTCTTTGCTAAAAGGATGCTGTAGCCATATTGCACATTTAACAAAAAACAAAATGCAAGGTCACAGTCTAAAATGATGAATCTGTTTACTTGACAAATAAGCTAGAGTTTTTCTCCAGAAGATTCCATTGAATGTTACCAAGTGCTAGCGAGAGCTTTCGTTGAGGAACACCAAGACAATCATACAAGTAAATAGAGCAAGAAAAGAAGGATAAAGTGACTCTAGAAGAATGTTGAAGAGTAAATCCTTGGACCTGTCGACAGAAACATTCTGCATATTTTGGAAAGTCTGTCTAGAGACTCTCCTAGAACCTTTAAATTTGTTGAATGGTCTTTAAAAAAGGGAACTCCAATTTTGTTTTAGTTTTTCAACCAAAGCATTTGCAGGACCTTGGAAAAGGTGCAGGATCAGCTCCTGCAGCATAATGGTGTCTGGCTCCAATTTCTGAATTGTGCAGCCAGAAAGTTACTGCACCAGTGGCTCCAGAAAAAAATGCTTCTGCTGCTGACATTTTCCTCCTAACAATCTGAAAAGAGCAGGCAAGAAAATGCACCATCATCTAGTTTCTTCTTTGGGGTGGGGGAAAAGCTTCCCATTAATTGATCCTGTCCTGTGACCTCTTCTTGGGGATGAATCTGCCAAATGCAAGCTAAAATCAGCCCCAAAACTGAATTAAAATGCCGAGGTGTATCATTGTGATCCTTTATTCATGCCTGGTAACTGTCCTGGCTCTTGGTCTTACATGGCCAAGGTCAAACGGAGTGAGAGGCACCAAAGGAAGCAGGATTATTAGATTTTAGAGGAGAGCGCTGGAGATAGGAAGGAGATTTAGACTTCCGGTTACTGACAGTGCCATTGAAAAATTCAGTGCCCCCCTCCTTGTGCTAATTGGGATTTTTTAGAGTTTCACACCTGCAAAGGGAAGATTTACATCAGCTGTCCTTCTCCAGATCTTCATCTCTGATGGTCAGTTCCAGAGCTGTGTAGAGGTTTTTCCACCATTGGTCGTCTCCTCTTTCACATTGGAAAGTGGCAGGATTGTAGGAGAAGCAACAGACCAGGCCACCTTTACCAGCCTGACTTCTGCCCACCTTAATTTGCCTTGGCAAGGGAATGTTTTTGCTCAGGGTTGCTGGAAAGGCTCTCCCTGTTCCAGAGTCACAAGTTGCAACCTATTTTTTACCTCTTGAAATCCTGCAGGGCCCAGTCTGCCTGCAGGATCACAAACATGGCACTCGAGGTGTCTGACCCGAAGAGAGAGAAGACACGCTGGCATTGTTCACACCAGACAACCCTAATTCTTGCAGTGCAGTGAGTGGAACTGTAGGTTGGTTTCACATTCACATCAGTAATCCTCCTTTTGGAGACAGCGAGTGGTCACGGAAGTCTGTAAGGATTGACCCCTGGAATGGAGGTCAATCAGAGTTTATCTGTTTCTGTTTTGGGGCTGGCCAGTGACCGTCCCCTCTCTGCCAGCAGGGCTCAGTTACAAGAAATCCTATAAGCTTCCTGCGTTGGTGCATTATTTAAACAGTCCACTGTGTCAGGATTTGGCAGGCCACAATAAGGAAGGTGTCTTTTTCAATTAAGGTGGCCTTCAAGGCAGGGAATTGGACAACGGCTGCCAGGGAAGAGATGTAACAAGCAACAAGGCCCCAACCATACTCGGAAGGCTTTGAGGGAAAGTCTTGCAAAATTAGTTAGGTCAGAAAACCTCCCCATATTCTCCAGGGAGGGATCCTTTCTAAGCAAAACACACACACACACACACACCGCTTTAGGCTCCCATGGTGGGATCTGCAGAAAAGCCCCCCCCCCACTTGTGTGCAATGCCCTCTGCCAGAGGGGGCCCTATAGGGGGAAATCATTAAAAATATGGAGAGCAACTCTTTTACTTAGCCAAGCCAATAAACAGCTGGGGCTTGTGATTTAGTATCATTCGGGTATGGAACAGATTTTGCTGCTGCATCTCTCGTAAATTTGCTCTGCTTGTTTGGTAGCTTTTCTGCTTTCAGTGATCTGCAAATCCAACCTGCTTAGCTTACAATTCGCTGTGATGAAGATTTGTAGAAAATGCATCCGATCAATACAGTAACTGAGTTAAGTGTAATTGTGTGAACCCAGCTCTAGAGCAGCCCTAATAAAGAGCAAGTCATCTGAAATTTGAACATAATCAGATCTAGCAATCAGCACATTTGGCCTCTGGGATTAGGACTCCTGCCAAGTAGGGGCCAAACTCAATTTAAACTGCATCATAAACAAAATTTGCTTTAGTCTTGGCCCCATTCGCTGCTTCACCCTGACCAGTATGACAGGCTCTGATCTGTTCTTGGAGAAAAACGGTCTCTTCCCTGAGCAGAGAAGCTGAGCTGGTGACACTGCTCTGAGTAATTCCAGCCACTCCCGACTAAAAATTGATCCATCCATGCCCTGCAACTCTCTGCCAGCCATTCTGTTTTGACAAGCTGATGGATGCCTTTGCAAGGGGGGGGGGTGTAACGGCTGCACTTTGCAAATCACTGCCCCAAAGAAAAAAATGCCTGATTGTTTTTAGTCCAACAGAGGGCGGAGATTGGAGATAAACAATGCATAACCCAACATCCACATTGGGTCACCGGCTTCCAAAATAACTCCAAGCCTGCCCCAAATTCTGCAGCACAGCCCGCAGCCCTTGCTCATCTGCTCCGTTACTTTGCTTTGCTTGCATAGTTAAGCAGTCATTAGAGGATGAACTGAAGTGACCCCCACAATCTGTTAGCATAACCTTTCTCGGAAGTGCTCCTTCCTGCCCCCTCAACTTTGCTGGTCACTATCATTCATGCTTGCGTCAGGGCTAAAATTACATGATAAGCTTGTCCAGATGGGACTCTGGGCATTCATTTCCTTGGCCTCCTTGAAGCTTATTTCTCCTGCTAATGTTCTCCCTGTACGTGCTGCAGGCTTAGCTGTGTGGCTGTTGAACAGAATAAATGTTTTCCAGGAGTTTAGCAGTGACCAAGTCCCCTTAAGGAAAAATTAGGAATGATTTAACAATATCATAGTATAGCTACTAAGAAAAGCACCTTGTGCGTGCGTGCAGAACATGCTCTTAATTTCAAGTGTTTTCAAGTGAATCTCTTGGCTGTGATTCCATGTTCCTACTGGAACTCCTCTACTTTTTATAAATGTATTTATAACACATAAGAGTGAATCGTTTGTATCATTTCTACTTCGGCCTCTTACTTTGAGGAACACCCGGTAACATTCAGTGAGTCCCAGGTATGTAACAGTAATAGGCTTATTGCAGTAATTTACAAACACCCCTAAAGCCCTGTCCTGCCTAAAGCAGTTTTGGAGGGTGTGTGTGAAAGCAGAGTATTTTCTTCCCACCAAGTAACAAAGAGGTTTATTATGGCCTTAGAGCAAAGTTGAGCACCCAAACCGGAATGGAGAGAAAAAGGGGTCACATATTTTCAGAAATTCACCAGCTTAACAAGGAATCTGGGCAGAAGCACTTAAGATCATGATGGCGGCAGGTCTTGAGGCCAGGAGGAAATAGTGGGTGGACCCAGGTAGGAAGCAGGACTGTCAGGTATGTTTATTATCATGACCATGTTTTTTTTTAAAAAAAGAAAGAAATAAAAATGTAGTAATAATAATAGTTATAGAAGGTCAGCAGGAAGGATGGAGCAAAGAGAAACACGGGGAATGATTAAATGGATTTTCAGGAGCAGCAGCTCTCGGTCCATTGTTACGAATGTTCTAAAGCCGCACAGCCCACCCATTTACATCACAATCCCAGGATGTGCTGCTGCCTTGCGGGGCGATTGGAGAATCGGGGGGGGGGGGCCTTCATCCTCTCATGGCCTGTTGCAGAGTGGTCCAGCCTCTGGATGAGCAGCCTGACTCGGTTTCCCTTCTGGAAAGGGCAGCAAAGGACCAGCGATGCCCAGGAAGAGAAGAGGGAACACTCCATGGAATGGCCAGGCTCCGCAGCCACTGTGGGGAGGAAAACGACGAAAGGCTTCTCGTTCTAGACTGAGGATTGCCCTGGGATCTCTTCGTAGTCTCCCATCCCTCAGCCTTCCTCCTGCGTTTGTGCCCACGGTCCCTCTGGGCCTGCAAAGCGGCCTTTCCCTGCCAGGGCTTCTCCTCAAACGGGGCGGCGGAAACCCGGGCAGTCCGATCCGCCCTGAGATGGCAGGCTCCGCTCAGCTGAGCGCGGCTTCCGCCTCGTGTTACACTTTTTTTCCCTCCGCCCGTTCCACACACCCCCGTTTTGAAAGTGACCCCATCGATCAAGCATTTCCGGGAGAGAGCGAGATGTCGCTCTGGTCGTTGCTTCTTCATGGTCGTTGAAGGCGTCGCTCTGTCCCTATCCCTCTCCCCTCCTAGCCCCACTTCCTTTCGTCGGAAGCTCTGCGATCCCATCCCGGAAGGAGCGACCGCCGCCCCGCATCTCTGGCCCCGCCCCCGGCAGCCAACGGCGGCGCAGCCTTTGTTCAAGCTTGTGGCATTGAGAGGCGGAGGGCTAGAGCGGCCCAGCGGGGACGACCCCTGCGCGACTCACGGCCTCGCCGAGCAGCAGGGCGCAGGCGCCGCGCGCTCCTTCCGATTGGGCGCCCTTCCCCCACGCCCGGAAGTGCCGTCATCAGCGCCGCTGCCGCACTCTTCCGGGCGGGCGGTTCCCCAGCCCGGCCGTGGAGCGAGGCGGCGACGGCCGGGCCTGGGCGAGGGTCGGGCGGGCGGCGAGCGCGCGAGGCCGGTGCGGGGCGAGGCCGGGAGTCGGGGGGGCGCGGGAGGGGCCCGGGCGAGCCCCCCTCCTCCCCCCTGCCGCCGCGGGGCCATGCGGGAGTACAAGGTGGTGGTGCTGGGCTCGGGCGGGGTGGGCAAGTCGGCGCTGACGGTGCAGTTCGTGACGGGCACCTTCATCGAGAAGTACGACCCCACCATCGAGGACTTCTACCGCAAGGAGATCGAGGTGGACTGCTCGCCCTCCGTGCTGGAGATCCTGGACACGGCCGGCACCGAGCAGTTCGCCTCCATGCGCGACCTCTACATCAAGAACGGGCAGGGCTTCATCCTGGTCTACAGCCTGGTCAACCAGCAGTCCTTCCAGGTGAGCCCCGCCCGCCCAACGCAACACAACGCAGAGCCTCGTCGGGCCCGGCCCTCCCTCCCTCGGCCGCTTCCCAGAGGGCCCCCCGTGTGGACTTCCAGGGAAGGAGCCGGGAGAAGAGCTGCAGGCGGACGATGCCTCCGCGACCTCCCGGGTCCTCTGGGGGAGGCAGGAAAGCTCCCCGGCCTCTGCCTCCCGCCCCCCGGGGTCCCCACCCTGCCCAGGATGAGGAGGGGGCTTTGACGAACCCAGGATTCCGACCCTGGCAGGGTGCAGCAGCCCCCCATCCCTTTGAACCCTTCTGGCCCTATTTATACCACACTGATGATGCTCCCTAGCTGGGCTGTGAAACGTCTGCAAGAAAAGCACCCGGCTCGGAGAGCACCCAGGACCCCACAAGTTCAATATTCCCTTCTATTAGGATATTTTATAGCAAATATGGCTGCCTTAAACTGTCCTTTGGGACCTATTGAGCTTGGCCAGCTTTCAATCAGATGCTCTGTGGGCCCTCTGGGGAAAAAAACATGCTCTTTGGCCCAGTATGTTAGCCTTGCAGACGTGGTGAGCCCCCCTCTGCCCTTGCGCCACCCCTTGAAGTATGGAGAGCATTCACTACTTTTGATTTCTTCCCCAGGACATCAAGCCGATGAGGGACCAAATCGTCCGTGTGAAGCGATACGAAAAGGTTCCTCTCATCCTGGTGGGGAATAAGGTCGACCTGGAGTCCGAGAGGGAAGTTTTGTCAGCGGAAGGCCGAGCGCTGGCCCAGGAGTGGGGCTGCCCCTTCATGGAGACCTCTGCAAAAAGCAAGACCATGGTGGATGAACTCTTTGCCGAGATTGTGCGACAAATGAACTATGCATCCCTGCCTGAAAAGCAAGAGCAGTGTTGTACAACTTGTGTTGTCCAGTGAAGGAGAAAGCAAACTCTCCATCATGGCCATGCAGAGCAGGTAAGTGCCCCCCCTCCCAAGAGACAAACAGACAAGGGAGCCTCTCGGCTAGGAATTGGGCTTGCAGCAGCGCCCGGAGTCCGTGCTTGAAGAGCAGCCCTTGGGCTTCCTGGCTGAGTTGGGGGCTGATCAGTGCTGCACTTGGGTTCCTCAAGGACAGCCTTTCCCCCCCCCCCCGGCTTTTGCTGCCTGAGTAGAGAGAACCAGAATCTGCCAGGTGTCCTGCCAGCTTAACTTTGCTGGATGCCTCCAAAACACGACGGAGCCTTTTGTGAATTGGTTGCGATTGAACTGGCAACAGCTCTCTTGAGTTCTTGGACTTTTCTTCTACCCTTCTGCCAAAATAATCTGAATCCAGGACCGGTTGCATTGCGGTGCTTGGTCCCCAAAAACACAGTGGATTTGCCAAGTAGCAGGGCAAGCAGTTAAACCTGCCTTAAATCCTCCTGGCTTAACATGTGATGCCCACAAGCCAGCTTCTCCAGTCTTTGGTAGAGAAAGTGCTATGGTGAGATAAAAAGGGGCCTTCCTGTTAGCCATCTCTTCTCAGATTCTACTGTGAATCTATGTAGGCCTGCTATAGTTGATCCTTCCGTGATGCCTTGTAGATAAATGTTGGTTTTCTTGCAAGGGCAATTTCCTCCCGCACACTATTCTGAAACGGACAAACTGCTTTGTTCCTTGAATCATTTGAAGAAAGCTAATGGTTGATGATAAGCCTCGCTTCTTAACCTGAAATGGCCTATTGGCTCTAATGGAGCGGGAGGTTGTGAAAATGTGGTCGTGTGTCAGCTGTCATTGAATTTTCCGGGCGCTGCAAACATGTTCAGCAAAAGAAGTCGGGCCACAGCTACATGGGTTGCATGAAATGAAATAAAACGGAAGCAGTGACGTTATTTTTTCCCCCAGTTACTTGCAGCCTTCCCTCTTTTGAGAGGCTGAATAGCTTCCATCTCAGTTTTTCCTAGTTCCTCTACCATGTAGCTGCCATCTTTTGAATTGCCCGCTTCAGTTGCCAAGGTGGAGAACCTCATCAACTCATCAAAGCATTAAATTGTTGAGGAGTAACAGGAGGGGGGAAAAAACCCTTTCTGTAATAAATTGAGTCACAAGCTGTTCCCCCCCCCCAACGGTATTACGTAATAAATCTTGTTCGGGGTCTACTGGATTTAACTTTTTTTAAAAAAAAACCCTGCTACTTCACTCTGTTCTGCTTGCATTTTCATAAAACAGGATCTTTGTGTGGTTTGGAATAATTTGTTTTCTCCAGCAGGTCCCCAGGAAAAGCTGTAAAAAATCTGCAGGTCAAAAATAAAACTATTTTGGGGTGATGGGAAAGCGGGTCCTCGTGTTTGGTGATGCCATCAAAACAGCTTCTTGTGCCCCAGGAGGTCCTGAGGCTCCCTGACAGATTCTTTGTCTTGCTTGCAGATAAAACTCAGAGGAAATTTGCACAGATGCTGCGTTGGAGAACCCTTTTAAGCCCAGGTTGCCGAACTGAGCCTTGCTCAATCTCGTCTCTGCCTTCAGAGCACGTTTTCCATGCATCCGGTGTGAAACAGGCAAGGAGCAGCCAGGGAGAGAGGCAGGGCCTGCTACAAACACTTAGCATGTTTACCATTTGATTTGGGAATCTGTTCTTGATCTCTTGGGGTGTTTTTTTTTTTATATATAGCTTTCTAAGTTCCTATTAATGGCTAATATGCAAAAGTTCATTTTAAACTATTTTATTTCTTGAATTGATTTCTAAATCTTGTATTTATTAAACTTTAAACTCAGTATTACCTACTCAATGCCTTTTTAAGAGAAAAAAAAATTAACGGAGAATAAAAGTGAGCCTTAAACACAAATGGTTACTTCTGTATATTACCTCACATTCGTGCTTGATTTGCAAAAACAGAGAGAGAGAGAGAGAAAGAAAGAGAGTGAAAACAAGGTTTCTTCTCCTCTAAAACGTCATTGATGGGAACTTTGAAACATTCTGTTTACATGTGATGGTGTCATAGAAGGATGTTTTAAGAATTGCCTGATACGTGAGGACACAGCATCCCTTTATCTCAGCAGCTGTGATTGGCCTGATGGGAAAGCTTTTTGGGTGGGGACTGGAGACATCCAGCAATTTGTATGTGTGTTCTCTGTTGTTATATGGTATTCGGGTTTGGTTTTTTTGAAAGATAAGGCTGTGTTGAAAATCACCTGTTCATCTGCTTATTGCATTATCTTCCAAATGCTGAAAAATCTTTTCTTGGGAAACGGACAGTGTGTCTTCTTAGGTTGTGTTCCAAAGCAAACGGGAACTTGAGATTCCTTGACAGGATTTAAGGTGACTTTGGGAAAGAAAGAAAGAAAGAAAAAAGTGAATTTATGCTACTGTTTAACTCTTGTCTCTGTCCAAGAACATTGAAACAATAGATGAGCCGGCCTGGCCTGCTGCTCCGTTGCTTGCCTGCCATTTTCTCTGGGGTGCAGCCTTGGTTGGTTCATTAGGCCAAGAGACGAAGCAACGGGAGCCTCCGTCACCCTGGCCTTCCATGGCCTGCATCTCACCGAAACGGCAGTTTAGCTAATTGTGGTCTTCGAAGAGCAACACCAATTTTGAGCAGAACGAAGAGTGCATTAGTAGAAATGGTAGCACCACGACTGTTGTAGGCATTGGAGACCTTTTCCTAGCACTGATGTAAAAAGTGTCTTTTTTTCCCCTGCACCAGGTTTAAAAGCCCACCTGGAGTCATTTGACCATACATCTAATAAATGTTGACTTCCGTAGCAGCCCAAAACTTAGTGTTAACCAAATTTCATCCTTAAATCATCTGGGTTGGCAGATGGCACTAGCATGCTGTGCCTTGATCCTGAGCCTTCCCAGCGTTTTGATCTCTAAATTCAAAATGTGCAGTGAAGTAAAGGTTAGGCTTGCACTTTAATAGAAGTCTCCAAACGAAAAACCCCGTTTTACAGTGCTTTTTACATTGGCCAAGTATCAGATGTGTGCCAAGGGAATGCAGAATTCACACAGTGACTGTACCTTATTTCTTCAGTGGTAGACACGTTGTGTTAACTTCTAAACTTCTCTGTTGGTTGACCTTTGTTTAAAAAAAAATTAAATCCATTCTTTCTCAATTGGAGTTGGGAGTGGCAAAGAGTTTGCCATCTGACCTGGGCTGCTTCAGCGCAGCTTGGAACAAGGGCTGGCCGTTTAAAAGAGGAGGCCTCCCTGGTCCTGACGTGCATCGCAAGGTTCAAATTCAGGCAGCCTTTGCGCTGTAGGCCTCCCCGCCTGCTTGCTTCAGGCCCTGGACTCCAGAAGGACTCTGGAGCTGCACAAGGCCTCTTCTGGTCCAGCTGAGAAGCTGCTGGTATGCTTGTCCCACTGATCTGGTTGAATCATGCAGCCCTTGGGCCAAGTTCCCAGGTGATTAATCAGGGGAAGAGGGAGGATCTGGTTCTGGGGGAAAACCCACTTCAAATGCCTCTTTCTCCACATTGCACAATGGGAAGCCAGACGGTGCTCCGGGGGGGGGGGTGGCCATCCAGGTGCACAATCCCAGCCATTGTCGGGAGTAATTCCTTTCCAGGGCTACTCGTGGCATCTCCTTCCTGGATGTGGCACCACAGCCCCGTTCTGCCTAAATGTTCTCACAATTTAATTCAGTGTATCAAATGTACTGTACCTCTTTTTTGGGGAAAAGTAAAAAAAAGTCTGGAAATTTGGCAAGTGCAAAACTAGGACAATGATCAAATGCTTTGTAAAGGTGAACCACCTTTTTTTTTCTCTCCTCGCCCTTCCAATTTCATTCATTCTTATTTTGTAAGACAACCCTTACAGTCCAGCTGTTTGTAACTTTTTTAATAAAATAGATACCTGTATTACCAAAAGTGGTTTTCTCTCTTTCCTGATTTAGCTACTGTGGAAGGGTGGTTTTGTGGTTTGTGCTATAATGTGTGTTAGCTTCTGTGCAGTATAATACGGCTGTGGGGAACACACCCATGTTGTCCTTCAGCTAATGCAGCAATTGCTTGCATCCCTGTTGTGCAATTTCAGCTTCTTGAATTGTGTGAACCCCTCAGAAGTTGTCACAAATTTTACTTTAGGGAAAAGAAGGGGAAAATGATGAAATAATCTGGGAGTAATTAGATTAAATGTTAATCTTTAACTCTTATACTTGGCACATCCCCTTTTCCCTGGCCCTGTCTGCTTTGGGGATGTGACCCATGAGAAGGACACAAAAATCTTCTGTGGCCTGATTATTATTTGGAAAGATGAGGGTAGAGATAAATATGGTTTTGGGGATGGTTTGGGCCTCGTCCTGAAGGAATTCTGCAGTCTAGACCTCTCCTTGTGAGGCTTCCCAGCTACACTGGTTCTCCTAACACCCCAAGCATGGTGGCCAAGCTTTATCCCTCCATTGTGATTAGAGGAGGCAGAGTAACTGGGAAAGAAATAAAACGTGCAGGCTCCTCACTGAATTCTTATGGGAACCATTGACCAACCAGGACCTCAGAAGGCAATTGGCCCATCTTGCTCAGCCGGGCTGTGTTGTGAGAGGACCAGCTGGAGAAATTGAGACAGGTACTCCCACAACGGCACTTTGGTGAGGAGATAAGAAGTCAAGGACTGAGCAGCTTGGGCGTGGCTGTATGATCTGCACTTTAGATCTGCAAAAGATGAAGAAGAGAGGGATCAGGCTGACTACCAAACGGAAATGTTATTTCCTTTATCGTTTCTAAAAAAAATCCAACTTCAACTTGTTCTTTTTTCGAGATCTCACACAAGCTCTGTGCCTGCATCCAGCTTAGCTTCACACCAGTCCTGTGAGATTGCAAGTGCTCCACCTGAGTTTCTCCGTCGTGAGTGAAATGGGGAGAAAAGACCTGCAAATGAGGAAAAAAAGATCTGAAAATAATAGAACCTTTGATAGGATCATTGCATTTAATCTCCCTATTGTTCCATAACCGACAAGGCCTTCATCTCACGCCTACCACCCAATGTCAAAACACAGATTATAGCAAACCATAATCCTTTTGAAAGCAAGCAGGAATTCCCTCGCACCACCAACAAAATCTGTTCTGAGCTGCTGTTGCAAGTTGTGGCAGCTGGGACAATCCTAGCCTTGCAAACGAGAGGCCCATAGCTTAGGCTCTGGGCCACAAGGACCACACTTGTCATTTTTTGAAGGTTTATTAAAAATGTAATAATTCTATGTACTGCATTACTTATTGTCAATTAGGTTAAAGGGTGCTTATTTCTGCTTTTTGCTGCTGAAGTGGCGGGGTCCCTGCTTGGTCACCCAAAACCCTCTCAAAGGCTGCGGGGTTCTTACAGGTCAATGGCAACTCATGTGTCTTGGGGACGAGTCCTCCGTAACCACCCTGTGGTTTTTCAGCCAAGTGCAGAGCTGCTCCAAGGGAGGGAAGCGGCCTCCTGCCTTGTCTCCCGCCTATCTGGATTGTGGTTTCTCTCCAACCTGCCAGGAAATGGGCACTGGCTGCCTTTGCTCCCTGGTGGGGGCAGGGCAGAGAAAGTGGCATGCAAAGTTTCCTCTTCTATCAAGTGAACTTTAGATCTGCAAAGAGGAGGAAGAGTGGGTGCGACCTGGCTGCAAAACGGAAATGTGATTTCCTTGGTCGTTTCTTCTAAAGAGGCCACCATCAGCAAGTTCTTCTTCCAGACCACATAGCAGCTCTGTGCGTATATTCGGCTCATCCTCACAACCGCCCTGTGAGATGGCAAGGGCTGATTTCGTGGCTGATGCAAGGCCTGGTTCTGAAACTCTCTGGCAAGGCCAGAAAGCCTTTGCTGTCTTACTCTGGTTCTTTTTTTTATTATTGAAAAGTTTTATACAAATTTTTAATACAATACAATATCCCCCCCTACCTCCTCCCCCACCCTAACCCTCCCCCTCTTACTTCCCAGAGGTGATTACAGGGTTAAAAAATACACAAACAAATTTTAACTATGCTTATCCAACTATATAAATATTAAAATCCCTAAAATACTTTAACTCAAATACAAACAAAACAGAAAAGAGAAAAAAAAATTTAAGCAAAAGCATAATTAACAATATAAATAATTCCCATTTTAAGCCTTAAGTTATTCAACTTTAAGTTATTCAAAAACTAAATAATACTTTCTAATCCCATATTTATTCTGTACAAAATTTATCCATCTTCTCCACACCGGCCTTACTCTGGTTCTTGAGATGGAAGCAGAAGGAAATGGGGCCCACCCAGGCGTAAGAAAAAAATCGGGAATCTCTGCCAATCTCTCTAAGAATTGCCCTGCTTTCTTGAATTCGCCCCTAATTTGATGCCATTGAATGACATCCATAGAATTAATTCAGCAAAGATAACAAATCTCCTGCCAGTTGAACTCGATGGGCACATTCATGAGGAGTTCTTAGCAGTGATAAGAATATGGTTTGCTAGTGATTTTTTTTTTTAAAATCCTTGGCCTCACCAATAACCCCAATCCCCAACAGCCCCCAGTAACTCCCCTCCAGGTGCTAACTGGGACCGGTCCTGTTGAGCTTCTGAGAACGCTCAAGGTTAATCCACTGTTGCCCCATGGACTGCCAAAGGCATTAGACCCCTTCGAGTTGAGCTCAATTCCTGGTGACACAATGAGACCCATCAAGCACAATGAGATCCCATCTGGGCCACAGTGCAGAAGTGGTTGGCCGTTGCCTTCTCCCAGTCTAGCCTTCAGCTCTCACGTCCCCCCTGGTTTGTTACTCAAGGACCAACAACGTCACTGTAGAGTTGTTGTAATAAAAAACATGGTTGGTGTTCAAGCCCTGGAGCAGGAATTTGCCTCGTTACAGTTGGGTCAACCCTGTGAACTTGGTGCTATTAATAAATGTGGGTAGGGAAAATAGTTCTTCCAAAGTTTCCTTCAGAATGAAAGCCCTTCGGACTTTGGGCTTTTCAGACTGGAACGTCATGCCTGCGTGGATTGGCTCATTCTTCTACAAACCCTCCTTTTCCTCAAGCAAGGGCTGCCTGCCTTTCCCGGCATATAATATCAGGACACCCAGCCAGTTAGGTACAAATGTCCAAGCCAACGCGCAATTCAGTTGCTATTAAACACAATTGAAATGGAAAGTGAGCACTTCAATGCCACCAGGAGATGGTGCTCTTTCCAAGCCAACGAGGGCCATTCTGGCTCCCGTTGAGCGAGTGGGGGAATCTTCGCCACTCCATCCACCAGAAAAGCAAAAAGCATTCTGGGAAGGAAGGAAGGAATGTTATGATTTTCCTTGATAAAAGCAAAATCTTCCCAGGAAAGTCATGGGCCCATTTTCAGGTAAGGAAGACACCTTTGCACAACGTCTGGCTTTCCATAGCTGTGTATACAGGTAGTCCTCAACGTACGACCACAATTGAGCCAAGATTTTTGTGGCTAAGACATTTGTGATCACACGACCAGAGAGATCCTGCAGTGGTTATAAGTGTGAAAAACGGTCATAAGCCACTTTTTTCAAGGCTGTTGTAACTTTGGTCACTAAATGAACGGTTGTAAGTCGGGGACTGCCTGTACATGACAGCAAGAGAAAAGGCATGTTTCCATAATCATTTTGTAAAGATGCTTCGATGCTCCTTACTGATCTTATCACGAGGCTCAAGGATGTAATGGCAGGCTGAAGTCTGGCCAGCCTGTGACCCAAAATTATTTCAAATTTTTTTTTTAGCTTAGGAGTGACATCTCAGAGCAATACTAGATCCTTGGACCTTCTGCATAAATGGTTTTCTGTTTCTCTGGGGAAGTGAAATTAGATTTTGTACAGCTAAGGGTTTTGAGATTCCTTCCCCCCCCAACTATTGTTAAAACCAGGAAGTGAAATGCAACACAAACACATATTGGGAGCAGATCCACTCCAGCCACCAGTTGGATTGCAGGCATCGGTAGGCCCAGTTAAGGGATAAGTTTTTAAGAGGGAAATCAAAAGCGAATAAGAAAGGAAACCCCCCCTCTTGCTAAGAACCCATTTGGATATGTAGAGATGGTTCTCCAAGGGGATTCCTACACTCAGCCCTGCCCTATTTGACCACACACTGACCTAAATTTCAGGGGGAAAGGACCCTTTTTAAGACAATGAAGATGCAGAAACCCTGCAAATTCTGAACCAAGAGCCCTAAACTTTAAAAATGGAGAGAGACGGTCATTCCTGTCCCTTGCCATGGCTTGAGCAAAGTCTTTTCATCTTGAGGATCGATGGAGCAGGGCGGACCAGCTCTGGAGAAAACCTGGGTCTGGGTCTCACACAAAGCAATTTTTATTTCTTTGTTCCGGGGAGAATTTTAGCCTCTCCGCAAGGAGGAACATGGAAAAGAGGTGAACACAGAAAAAGGCATGAACAAAAGAGAACCTTTTCCGGTTTTGTGATGGTTGACAGGGACACGTACTGTATCTCCTCCATCTTCCCTGTCGGTCTTATGCGCCTTTGCAAAAATCTGCACTCAAGGCTCCTGTTCTTATCCAACCAAGAATAAAATTCTGTCTGATTCGTAAGACGCCCTCCCTCCCTTCAGATTGCACAGAGCCTCATCCTGGCTGGCTGCTGAGCCACTCACCTAAGGATGCTACATCTCAAAGTCCAGTTTTTGGATGACTCTCAGAAGATCTTTGTGGTTGATGTAAGTATATTCACAGTTTCTTGTCTATTATTTTGCCTGCTGGAATTTGTTTGACCTTCTTGGACTGGGTGATGTTTTAATTTCAGGGTTGTTCTGTCTTTTTTTTAATCTAATTAGATGCCTGCATCTCCCCACATTTTGAACAATTGCTAATTCACAGTAAGGACTTGATTGTTTCTAAATATTCCTTGAACAAGACCCTTTCGGAGAAAGGTCATGGTTTTATCTGATAACAAATAAGTCATTTTAATGTTTAAAGAGCGTGTCCACAACTAAGTCTTTGTCTTGAATTGTAATCACCAAATTGTTAAGTATTTTAAAAATAATTATTTTATAAATTAATTCCTGTATCATTTGTTCTATAAAATTAATGTTCCAAAGAATGAATTAGATGCAGATGCTGAAAAACAGGCTTCCTGACAGCTAAAATCGCAGAATTGTAGTGAATCAAAATGATAGTTACCAAATTTTGGTAAATTTAGCATTGCTGTACTTCGTACACATCGTATTTGCCTTATAGTTAAAAGTGGACTACCCAATACTTTTATGTAAAGGACAGATCTTTCTGAAAGCTCTCTGTCAGAGAGAAATAGCTATCAGAAGATAAAGGTGTCTGGTTCAAAAGGAAATCTTCCAGGTAACAAAAACATACATTTTGGAATCAAAGTGCAGTTGAATTTTTCCTACATCCAAATGGATGTGTCTTTGCTTTTAAAGAAGCAACATAGTAAGAATAGCACAACAATATTGATGGTTTTAGTTCTAAAAGTACACAGGATGGAGCATAAGTGCAACATTTAGCTTTTTTTAAAAAAAACTCATCGTTTAATCTCCATCTTGATAGGCTGTTCTTGATGCTGAATGGTTAAGATTTATAGTTCAGAAGTCCTTGGAAACTCGTGGCAGAGACAGAGACACATTAAGTCTACCTTGAAACTGGGATTTCTGGCTTGTAATCATGAAACCCTACTTTTGTGGGATTATCCCTAGCGCTGAGTTTCCCCCTTTTTTATTTCAGTTTCAGCATTTTTTGCTTCCTTCCTTTCCAGTTCACCCTCCTGCCTCTTTGCTTCTCGGCTTTAGCTTTATAGGCCATGCTGCTGCAAGAAAGGACTCCATTAAAGCCCATGGTTGGCCTTTCTTTTCAAAACCTCCAGAATGCCTTTGAGGCATATGGTGCATTTGATGTCCAAGAGTCACAATAATGTCCTGGAATTAAAAAAAAAAAAAAAAAAAGAGGGAGAGGAGAGGAGAGGAGAGAGAGAGAGAGACAGCCTGGGGTTACTTTTCCAACGGATTCTCTTGCTAGTAGAACCAGCGGGATGAGCCGGGATTCTTTTAGATGGATTTCAAGGTCAGTAAGTAGAAGGGAGTTAATGAATTCTGCATGGAGAGGGAGAAAAGCAGAGGGACAATTGTGCCCCTTTTTTACCTTAATGATATGAAGGGGTTCAGGTATAACCCCACGAGAAGGTCTGGGTGTCTCAAACACTCATGCACAAAATACAAAAAAATAAGCTGCATGAGGGCAGGTTTGGACTGAATGGCAGGAAAAACATTGCAGGACAAGAATGGAACCAGGGACTCAGAGAAGGGCAGAGTGGGTGGACTTCAACTCCCAGAATTCCCCAGTGTCCCTCAACCTTGGCGGCTTGAACCTTGGGAGTTGAAGTCCACCCATCTTCAAGCTGCCAAGATTGAGAAACGCCGCCCTGAGCACTCAGGAACCAGAAATGTTAATGCATATGCGCCTTGGATGGTGCAAATAATCAGGAGGAATAGCTGCAGTTTATGCACTTCCCTCTCTTTGAATAAAGGTGCTTCCAGACTCTGTCTCCTGATTTAGGGCTACCCTCACCTGACACCTGCAGCACCTTGAATGGTGGCAGCACCTCAGAGGGCTTGAAAAGAGCATCTTTCCCAGGCAAGGAAGCACCATCGCCTTCATTCAGGCGGTTTCTTTCCTCTGGGAAAAAGTCCCTGGCTGATCTCTGGCTCCCAAAACTTGCAGCAGGAGGAATAAACAGCGATAATTGCTTTAATTGCTGTTGCCGCTCAGCTGTGGAAATAGGAGCCCCCCCTCCCCCCCTGCAGAAAAGGCAGTGATTACCCTGTCATTTCCCTAGTTGCCTCTTTGGTGCCAGGGTAGCAATTTAAACTTCCGTGACTGCAACAAGGGATTATCTGTAAGATGTTAGCATGCGCGCTTCACACCGAGCACAATGCGCCGTGTGTCAGCAACCCCTCAATTTCCCTGACAGCCCAAGTCAGAGGACAGGTGCGTCTGGATGGATGCCAGGAGCAATTTGCCCACCAGCCGGTCCAGCCAGAAACTCCGCTGGTTTTTCAAGAGGTGCTGCGGCTTAGTTTCCTGAATCTGGCTCGGCCCTGCAGAGGAGATTAATCGTTACAAAACATCATTCCTAGTTCTAGTGTGGAACAGAAATGTGCAAATCTATTTTGATTCCACTCAGATTTTTTTTTTTTTTTTTTTTTGCAATTCTGACAATTTTCAGGGTATCAATTTTGCAAATTTCCCAGTGGTTGGCTCTCCTATCTCTCCTTTTGAGTCTGAGATATTTTTTAAAAGTTTGCATTAAAATGTGTATATAATGTAGTGCACACTTCTTTCAACCTTTTAATTTTATTTAAAGCCTTTATATAGCTGCCCATCTTTACAATCACTGAATATCGTCTCATACCGCAAGATGCACAGCATATAAATTTGATAAATAGAATAACCAACTGGGCAGGTCCCAATTATTTATTTGCTTATTTAAAGTGTTTTTGTTTGTTACCAATTTTGTATAATGTACACAATCTTTGGAAATAAACTTCTTCAATAGAATACCTCGCTTATACTTTTTCCAATACGGTACCTTTATACAGTATAGACTTTTGTATTTTTTTTTATTTTATATTTTCTCCCATTTGAAATCTGGAAACAGAAATGAGTAGCATGAAATTAATTAATGTGAGATGCCAATATAATTTAATAAGTGTTTAAAAGTGGATAGCATTGGCTTGGGGAAGGGCTGCAAGCATGCAACTCCAGTATAAACAGGAATTCTTGTATCTAAATAAAGCCTGGAGGACTTCAGGTATGTCCTAAGCATTCCCAGCTTTGCAGTTTTGGAAGCTGGAACATGTCTGGAAAACGGGTTGGGAAGATGGCGCCCCTGGTTTATCAAGGATTAAAATGTTTATAGTTCTGAAATTGCCCCCAAATTTCAAAAACTCAAGAACAATCGGGTATTTAACTTTGTCACTCTTCCAGCTTATTGCTGCTTAATTAGCTTTAATTACTGATGGGTTTGTGCTGCTTAATTAAGATTGCCCTGGCTTTTTCCCACACTGGCTCATGTCAGCTGAGAGGCCAGGACAGAGTACAAGATGGCAGAACTGAGTTAACAAAGACTTCTTGGTCAGTTTTGGGCATCTGGCAATTCAGCAAATAAACTGGTTGAATCCAGGCTTGTTTCAAAAATCCAACTCTTGCAAGTATCTCTCAAGTTTAAAGACACAACTCTTGATTAAGTCACTTGGGAATGGTCTCTGCCCCACCACAAATCTTTAAGAGCTCCATGAAGACCCACCTTTCCGAAGGAGACATCTGCTAGGAGTTTGGGTTCCCTTCCCAGGGATTTCATGCACCTGTTCATATCATTTTCTGGGCATCCCCTTTTTACCCCAACCCTTCTCATACGCAAGACCCTGAGCAAACTGAAGAAAGCAGAGCCTGTGGGAGTAGGAGACATGACGCTCGTGCCTTTTTCTTTGCCAAGGAGCTCTGTTTATCTCTCTGTTTCTCTCTCTCTCTCCGTTATTCCTTCCTTCCTTCCTTCCTTCCTTCCTTCCTTCCTTCCTTCCTTCCTTCCTTCCTTCCTTCCTTCCTTCCTTCCTTCCTTCCTTCCTTCCTTCCCCCTTTTGGCCCTTTAGCAAAAGTCCTCTGGGAAAACATTATTTAACCTGAGCTGCCACCACTTGAACCTGGCAGAAAAGGAATATTTTGGACTGGAGTTCTGGAGCCCTACGGGGCATGCTGTAAGTTCAGGAGGGGGAATGACCACCTCTGGGGGTGGGGGTGGGGGTTGTATAAAAATGCCACATAGGCTGTGGGGAATGAGAATGCATTGAGCTTGCTTTAGACACACCCGTTTCCATGGATCTCTCCCTCTGCAAGGGGTCAGAAGCTGAACTCCGGGTGATGTTGCTGAGGTGGGCAGAAGCTAAAGGGCTCTGGGGGGGGCTCCTGGCTTTCAGTGGGCTTTGTCTTCCCCAAAGGACCCAATCCAGTTTTGGGGGGGCTCTTGGCTCAGTCAAGGTTCTGCAAGAGAAATTCTGAGAAGCTCCTGGCTCTGTTCCTTGTGCAAAAGGGGGTGTCTTCTGTGAGGTGGGCAAGAGGCCCCAAGTTGACCTCTTTATCTCCCGCAGACCCTCCCCAGGCCACCTCCCAGCCTTCTGCTAGTGTCCTTCCTATACATTAGTCTGCCCTTGCTCTCTTTGCAGGCCTGGCTGGAACTTCTCAAGCCCATCTCGAAGCAGATTAAAAGTAAGTTCCTTGGAGAAGGCAGATGTAGAAGTGGGGGGGGGTCCCATTCCCTTTTATGCCCCTCTGTAGAAAGCAGGGGGGGCAAGAAACTGCTCTCCAGCCTGGGAACCATCTAGTCTTTCTTGCTGCTGGTTGGGGGGGGGGGTGATGCCCGCACACCCCTCATAGGGCAGGAGGGGCTCCTGATGATGCTCCCGATGGCTGGCTGCGGAATTCTGGGAGTTGAAGTCTTCAAGTCTTAAAGTTGCCAAGTTCCCTGTAATAAAGGATACAGGGAAGGATGGATCCCCCTCAGGGGCCGGTGGAAATGGCTGGGCTGGTCTCTAGCGCAAGAGCCCTTTTTCAAATGAAAAGATGTGTGTAAATGTTCCCGACAGACTTTTGAAACCAAACTTATGAAGATGTTGTGTTTTAAGATCCTAAGGACATTCTTTTCAAATTTATGGTGAAATTTTTCCCAGTGGATCCGGGTCATCTGAAAGAAGAGTTGACGAGGTATGCTGCACATTCCTTTTCATTTCATTTCATTGTTTTTAATGCACTTTTTTGCTCATCTCCTAAGGTGTTCTTTTTAAAATAAACGAATGCATAATTCCATCCTGAAAATCTTTTTCTGAATATCTGTTTAAAAAGAAGGCTAACCAGGTAAAATGCAGCTCTCTTTGGTGAAATCGTTTGTATACAACTCAGCCTCCATGCAAAGAAGTTTATTATTCTTACTTGCTGTGACAACAACAGGAGGCAGGAAGTATTTAAAGGCATTAAGTATATCTAACAGGGCATTGTTAAATAATATATAAGCTGAGTGAATAATACAATAACAACAAGGGAACATTGTTGACAGAGAATCCATATCCTTAGAGAATAAACAATGCAGGACTCAGACTGGATTCAGCAATTTCAAGAAGCTGTTTCTCTCTCATTCATACCAGTCCTTTTAAATTCAAGTTTCTAGTCCTTAAAGCTGGCTATGATCAGAGAGGAGCAGAAAGAAGCATGTCTGTAAGTCCTCGACTTACAGCTATTTGTTCAGTGACCATTCAAAGTCACAATGGCACTGAAAAAGCGACTTACAACCGGTATTCACACTTACAACTGTCACACCCTCTCTATCATGGTCAGCTGTATTTGCCACAGTTGCATACGGCCACTTGGGATCTTCCCAGCCGGCGTCCGACAGGCAGAGTTGATGTGGGAAGCTGGATTCACTTAGCAATTATGGCAAAACTGCTGTAAAATCGGGCGCAATTCAGTTAATGACTGCTTGCTCGGCAGCGGAAATTCCGGACCCGATTGTGGCCGTAAACTGAGGACTCCCTGAGTTGCCTCTCCAGAGGGAGGGGAGCCCAGTGAGAGCCCTGACAATGTCTTTCAGGTACCTGTTCACCCTTCAGATCAAGAAGGATCTGGCCGGCGGGAAGCTCCCTTGCAGCAGCAACAGCGCCGCTCTGATGGTGTCGCATCTCCTCCAGTGTACGTCCCCCGTCCTGCAACTCGGAGGTTCCTTCGGTGGGAGAGGAAGAGGATGGCCACCCATAGGGGAAGGACGTGGCTGGGCCTCGGGGAGGGTAACACAGCTGCACCGCGCCATGGGGCGGGAAAATACATTTCTTTCCCCCTCCGGGGCAATCCTTTCTGCCATGGGATCTGGGCTGGCCCTGATGTTGCTCCTGGCTTTTGTTGATGGACTGGGCTTTGTGTGCTCCGAAGGGAGCCGATTCCATTGACCAGAAGCATCTTAATTGTGTCGCTTGTTCCTGCAGCTGCGCTGGGCGATTTCCACGAAGAAATGGATGGAAAGCACTTGGAAACACACAAATACTTGCTGAACCAAGAGGATCTGAGGAACAGCATCATGTGCTACCATAAGAAGCACATGTAAGTCACCGGTCTTCTCCACGTGGCTCTTTTTAATTTTTTAGGGCAACTTGGTGCTCTCTGAGCTTGGCTGTCTTCTTGCAGATATTTCATTATCCAACTAGGTAACATCATCAGGGCTAGAAGGGAGTGGGGTTTGCAGGGAAGAGGAGGAGGAGAAGAAGAAGGAATGTGGGGTCTTTGGTGCTCTCTGAACTTTTTTGTTTTTTTTTGCAGACATTTCATTATCCAACTAGGTAACGTCACCAGTGCTAGACTTTTTACTTTTGCTCAGGATCCCTTGGAGTGAGAGCTTAAATGAAATTAAAACTTCCATGTGTGGAAAGTTTCATTTCACATGACTTTCTGAACTGGAAATCAGAAACTTGAGAAGAGAGAGTTTTCCAGTTTCCAAAGTGGAGCAACAGAACTGGGAGGGAGACATTCTGGTTGAGTGCAAAGGCAAGGTCTGCAGCCTGGCCCTTCTCTCTGCCTCAGTTGCTGACACCCCCCCCCCCATTTTCTTTCAGGGGCAAAACTCCTGCTGAATCCGATGTGCAGGTCCTGGACATAGCAAGGAAGCTGGAGATGTACGGCATCCGCCCCCACCCTGCGAGTGACGGGGAAGGGACCCAGATCAACTTGGCGGTCACCCACATGGGAGTCCTGGTGCTGCGGGTAAAATGATTTTTCCTTACACCTTTCCAAAGAAGATACCCAAGAGGTAAAAATGCCAATGTGACCTCACAAGCGTGAATTCTTTGGGTGGGGCAGCACGCTGGTGTGGAGCCCTTTTGGCAGCTGCCAATCATTCTAGATGGAGCTCTTTGATAATTGAATGGAGCCTTTGGAAGCCAGTGCTGATCAGCAAAAGTCCTTTCTAATGTTAATTAAAAGCTTCCTGCTTTAAGTATGGCCTGGGAATTGCCTCCCGGGAAACCAGGCTGGGTATTTGAGAAAAATCTCGGTGGGGACTGCTGGGTTCCCTGCCATTTGTGGCTTTGCCCAGCACCCTCTGATGTGGGCGCCTCAACTCCTCTCTTTCCTTGCTAAACCAAACTGCTGCTGTGTCAGATCGCGGTGTTGTATAGTAGGGAGACAACTCTTGACCATATAATTTTCTGCCGAGAATAGCAGTCTCATTTTTGTGGCAATTACATGGTTCTGCAGCTCCCCGGCTTTGGTGAGCGTGTGCTGGGAAACGTGGGCGATGCGCTGCTCAGCAGCCTTAGCCTTCAGTGGGGAGGAAGCAAGGGAAAAGCGGGTGGAAGCTTTGTTTTCAGGATGCAAAAATGAGGCTTTTCTCCAGCAAAACTGTAGGGGAAAAAAAAGAATGAGACAATAGATTTAACTCTGCAAGCACTAAGCAGTTGTCGGTTAAAAAGGACTTCTAATTTTCACATTCCATTGCTGCAAAAGAGGCAGCTAGGAAGAGGACTAAGCAGCAGTCAGGAGATCTCTAAAATGAAAAGAATATTTTTTTATTTAAAAAATAATAATCCCCACTTGGTGCTGGACGTTGAGAGGCCTCATACCAAGCAACTGAAAATAGCTCTCCATGAGCCAACTTGTCAGGTGTTGTGTTCCTGGTGGTGTGTCTTCATCTACCTTGGTCACTTTAAGATCTGTGGACTTCAACTCCCAGAATGCCTGGCAGGGGCATTCTGGGAGCTGAAGTCCACAAGGCTTAAAGTGGCTAAGGTTGGACACTCCTGATCTATTTGCTTGTTGGCTCTTAATTTTGCAGGGCAACACCAAGATTAATACCTTCAACTGGTCCAAAATCCGGAAACTGAGTTTCAAACGGAAGCATTTCTTGATCAAGCTCCACGCCAATGTTTCGGTACCGGGGGAGGGGGGAATTGGGACATATGTGTTTGTGTCTGTGTGGGGGTAGGAGGAAAAGGGAAGAGTTCCAGGGCCCTCCTGCATTCAGAGAAGAGCAACAAGCAAAGGTGATTAGGGGACACTGGAGGCTAGAACATACGAGGAACGGTTGCTGGGATAGGGGATGTCGAGTTTAATGAAAAGAAGGACTAAGGGAGACAGGATAGCAGTGTTCCGATATCTAAGGGGTTACCACAAAGAAGAGGGGGATCAATTTATTCTCCAAAGCACCAGAAGGCAGGACAAAAAGCAACGGGTGGAAATTAATCAAGGAGAGAAGCACCCTGGAATGAAGGAGAAACTTCCTAACAGCGAGAGCAATTAATCGGGGGAACGGCTCATCTCCAGAAATTGTGGGTGCTCCATCACTGGAGCTTTTAAAGAAGAAACCAGGGAGCCATTTATCTGAAATCTTATTTGGTCTCCTGCTTGGGCAGCGGGTTGGACTAGAAGACCTCCAAGGTCCCTTCCAACTCTGTTAACAACATTCTGCTATTCCCTAGCCTCATTTTCCAGAAATATTGGGTGCTGGCTGATCTTGAGAAGTTAAGCAGGCATGAATGAGTGTCATCGATGAAATTCCAGGCCGTAGGCTAGACTGAAAATGAAGAATTCTGGGAATGGTAGTCTACCTATCTTAAAGCTGCCAAGGCTGAGAAACACTGGACTGGACCAATGCACTTTCCTTCTCCATCCCCAACAGGCTCTCTGCAAAGATACCCTGGAGTTCACCATGGCGAGTCGTGACACCTGTAAGGCTTTTTGGAAGATGTGTGTCGAGTATCATGCCTTCTTCCGTCTCTCCACTGAGCCAAAGTCAAAACCCAAAGCGTTTCTCTGCAGCAAAGGCTCCAGTTTCCGTTACAGGTAATTTAGGTGGAGCAAGGAAGCCAGCCACCTTCTCTAGCCTGGTGGCCTGTGGTTGGCTCTGTCAAGTTCTTCCTCTTTGCTTCTCTTGATTTCCTGCCTTTTCCGGGTGTGAAATATTAAGCTGTAAGTCCCCAGGAGGCAGCGGACTGTTCCTCCCCAAGGGACAGCCTCAAACATTTTGGTGGGTGCAGTTTGGGGTGCCTTTGGTGGGTACTGCAGAGGCAATCCTCTTTAACCACTCCTCTCTTTGCAACGACAGTGGGAGAACTCAGAGGCAGCTGCTGGAACATGGGACCAAAGGGAAGCAGAAGAGTCTGCCGTTCGAGAGGTATTGCTTGTGGAAAGAACATTTTTCACAAATGAAGGCGATTCTACTTGTCCCAGGATAATGTTGCAGGATCCCATCTGGGTCGATCGCCAGGACTAGAGGTTTGGCCTTCCAAGCTTCCGGACTCATGCTGGAGCCCATCCTCAGGGACCTTCTTTCTCACTGGAATGTGGTTTTCTCTTCCAGGAAACACTATTCCTCTCGCTACCATGACAGGCAATGCCGGTCATCCCCGGATCTGCTAACGGATGTTTCCAAACAAGTACGTAATTTGAGTCAGGGGGATCTGCTGGGGAGGGGTGATGGAATTGTGTGAAATAAAGATCAGGGATGATGTAGTTGCAAATGAGTCTCACCTTTGTGCACCCATGAATTTCCCACGCCTCTGATCTTGTCCTATGTTGGACTTCAGGTCCCATAATTGCCATTGAGCATGGCTGGGGATTGTGGGCTTGGAAGTCAAAAACATCTGGACATCTCCCATTATGAGGAGAGGTACTCCAACTGTGTGACAAAGGACAGGATCTTCACACCATGTCCTTAAATTCTGTCCTTCTTTGAAATAATTGCTTCCTCAAATTGAACAATTTCAGCCCATTTTCCTTGTGTGGTTGAAAGGATGGAGCAAGTGGGGTTTGCATGGATTCCTCCTTAAGATCCAGCCCAAACAAGCCTAAAATGAGTTTTATAAATGGCCTCCTGAGCCCTCAAGAAGGCAGGCTAAACCTTGGTATACATTCAAGCATCTTAGCTTAAGCATTGATGTCTCACTTTTCCCACAGATGGAAGACCTGCGGCTTGTCTATGGCACCATGGGGGGCTACTATGGCACAAATGGCATCCACACTTCTGAACCCACCCTAGACAACCGACGGAGGAACTCGGCAGTGGAACTCATCTTTGCCGATGAACTGGAGCGGTCAAAACCAGAAGCAGACCCAACATTGTTGCTGCTCCATTCCCAAAGCAGCTCTGCCTTCCCGGTTGTCTACACGGAGCTGGACCACGATTGGGAACCAGCCAGCCTCTATGGGCCAAGAAGCCCCCTGACCTCTTTCCAGCCTAGCTCCACGTTTGATGGCACCAGCAAGAGCCCCTCTCTGAGCAATGTGAGAGACTGGAGTCCAAGGCAGCAGCTGATGTACACTGATGTCCCCTACATGGCAGTGTCCAGTCAGCCATTGGAGGTGGCTTCTCCTCCAGTTTTCTTCTACGTGGACCGGCCACCTCAGTATCCCAAAAACCGTACCATGGACCGTGCTGAGGAAAGAGTTCTGGAGGGCAGCACCTGCGAGGCACCCATGAAGCCACAAAGGAACCCAGGCGCAGCCCACTCCAAGCTGATGGAGCCCCCAGCCACGGCCCAGGCCACCTACGTGACCCATCTTAGCATGGAGGAAGAGGACGACGAGAGCGTCTTTGACTATGGTGTTCAGGAGGTCCCCAAAAGATCTTGGAGCCAATCGGACATCAAAGCCACCAGATTCCCTTGTGGCTCAGAGTTCCGCCCTCTTGGGCCTTGCCCTGTCTTGACCAGCAGAAAGATTGACCTCTTGCAGTGCACGCTCACCCAGCCGCCCTTCCCAGAACCTCCCCAAGTCCAGCGAACTACAGAGCACTATGTGGGCAGTGGGACCGACTCCAGTGACTCCGATTCAGACCTCCTCCTGGACTACTATGCCCTCCATGGGCGGGTTCTCAAAAGACCCTGGGTGCAAATTCACCTCTCCTCAGGGAGCCTCCAGCTGGAGGGAGAGGAGGCCCTGGTTTCTGCCACCGTTGACGATCCTGAGAGGGGTGCCTCCAATTATTTTATGTAGGCAGCAGAACAACGGCACCGGTCAAAAGTTGCCGATTTGTGACTTGCCTCCTTGTTTGATCCTTGGCTCAGGTGTTCGGTGGGACACAATCACACAATGACCACAGAAGATTATAGAACTTAAATATTTATTTGTTTTTTTTTTTTAAACCATTTGACTTTTTGGGTCCCTTCCTCAAAAGTGTGAAAGAAGCTTAATCTATAAACAGATTTACAGAACTAAGAGACGCTGGGAAGAAGGAGCGCGACGGTTCTGCTCGGATGATACGGTTATTTTGTAAAGCTTCGGATCAACTGTATTTACAACTTGTACGGCTTCTACATTTATAAAAATATTTTATTTAATCCGTAACATTATTGTTTTCAAAAACTATGTCCAGACGTTTCCCCTCCCCAGATATAAATTTCTAATGGTGTTTCAGGTATATAGCAATGAAACAATTTTTTTAAACAAACATTTCTTTAAAATTAAAACAAAGGAGTTAAAAGTTCTTTGTGATTTTTTTTTTTACAGTGTAGGCACCATTGAAAATAATTGCCCTTGGCATTTCTATCCACCATCTCTTGCCAGTGTCTTTATATCTTTTTTTTTTTCCTTAAAAAGAAAAGGTTGTAATGGCAACTATTAATCACAATGACAACAAAAAATCACTGCTTGTTTGCACTCTTATATAACTCAGTTCAATATTTGGCTGATATACTTCAAATTCTTTAAAATGAATGTTGTGCAAAACCAAAAAAAATGTGCAGATCTGAACTATAAAATTAAACATATCCAGACTTATCAAAAATAAATTTACACCCACACTTCCACAACTGAAGACTGAAATACAATACACTTCAGTAGCATAATATACATACTGGGTTGAAAAGGAAAAAAGAGAGAACCTCATCTCAACAGTACCATAAATATATAATCGAAAGCAAGTTTATAATTTCTTCTACCTTTTCTGGAAAAAAAATCACTCTGTACTGCACAGTACTATCTTTTTCGTGAAAGAATATCTATAACTCAATTATTTGCATATTAACTGGTAAATAGATTTTTAAAAATACACTTTGGGATGGAGGGGGAAATTAAACAGTTGTGGATGCATGTAAAGGACTTCAAGAACGTAAGTCTATCAATATCTTACAAGGAGAAAAAATACACACCCCACAAAACGCTGGTGTCACAATTTCAATCTGCCAGGGAGGTACTGATCAGACGCCCCCCAAGACAGAACAGGTTCTCCTTTTTCTCCAATTTTACTCCAGAAGAAACAACTCGGTTGAATTAGGCCCATTATTGCCAACCCCCAACCCCACCCCATCCCTTTCAACAATATTGCTTCAAAATTTCTTATCACGGTGAAAGTGTCTTTTATATCGGGGCATAAGGGGATCAAGAGAACCGAAACGGTGGCTGCGTCTATCCGACTGCAGCCCACCCCTTCGTGTGCAATGCTATGTTGAAAAAAAAAGAAAAAAAAAGAGGAGTGGGCTTCAGAGAGAATGGCCACGGCTGCCATCTTGGCTTTCTTTTACACCCGGTCCCCTCCCCGTTGCTGCTGCTGCTGCTGGGAGAGGTTGCTCTACAAAGGAATCCACACAAGCTGTGCACGCAGCTACAGGACAACTCGCCAAGCCGTTGACGTATTGCTTTCAGACGGAGGTGACCCCACATAAAATACCCAATTTCAAGTGAGCGGATGCCGCGGCCGGTTCCTCCTGCTCAACACGGGCCGAAAGGGCACCAGAGCGACATCCTGCGGGCAAAGGGCTTCCGCACAGCCTCTGCCTCTAAAAGGGAGGTGCCAAGTCTGGCTTCAGGAGACCTGCAACTGGGGCAGAGGAGAAGAAAAACAAAGTACTCCTGAAACGTGTTTTCTACGAACTCGAGTAAAAAGGCTGCCCATCCACCAATCTGGGGAGGAGGCCGATCCACCCTTGGCAACTGCCTCTGGAAGGAAACAGCACAAACTTTTTTGTCTCGTTTGAGCTGGGTTAAAGAAGTGGGAGCTAAAATATTAAAAGTCGCTCTGTACAAAAAGAAGAAGAAAAGAAGGAAAAAAGCAAGTCCCGGAGATACAAAAAGAAAAACAAAAAGCACGTCTGCCATTTACAAAAGAGTGGAGTTGAATCCTTTCCGATCCGCGATCATCAGAATCTATTGCGATGATCCCAAAAGGCACCAGGAACTCAGGAAAACAAGGAGCACAGTCGAGCCAGAGGAGGGTGGGCAGACCGCGGGGAGGTCTGTGCGGGGCAGCACCCGGGCACCTTCCTCAGGAGTCACCGGCAGAGAACCTGAAGGGGGGGGGGGAGAAAGGCCGGGAGGAGAGACTCGGTCAGGGCATCAGAGCTGAGAGGGCCCCCACAAACACGGGCAGTCCTCCGTTGGGATTCTCTTTTAACGACAGTGTCAAGAAAGGTTGTAAAATGAGGCAAATCTCACTTAGCAGCTGCCTTGCTTAGCAACAGAAATTTGGGGCTGCACTGTGATCCTAAATAATTGAAGGACCCCCAGTAACTGAAAACCAAATAATAATAATAATAATCCCACAGCCTACTTCTGAAATTTCTCCATCAGCTTCTTCACCATCTTGTCCGTGATGCCCGGGCTGGCGGCTTCGGCCAGGCTGATGCTCTTCTCCAGCTCTTCGATAGCCTGCCTCTTGCCGGCGCTGTTTGCGTCTTGCTGCTTCAGCTGAGCAGGGGGAGGCGAAGGGGAGAGGGTGAGGGGCTGCAGCCGTAGCTGCGCAGGGCTTTGAAGGGGTCTGAAGCGGCCAAGAGACTCACCTCTGCAAACACGGGATTGATGATCAGGGTTAAACAGCCCAAGGTTTTCATGAGATCCTGGTCCTGGAAAGTTAGAAGGGAGGTTTTCAGACAGAGCCCATCAAGTGCCCGGAACCTCAAGGGAATGTCGGTGCAAAGCATCACCAGGTGAGTTTTTTATCCAGCCTGGGAAAGCAGGTAAGTCCCAGCCGTTTCCTTTGGAGATCTCGTGCCCACAAACAACTGGCAAGTCTCTGCCTTAATTTGGGTATATTTTAATGGGAACGATGGCACGGTTTTAAGGGCTATTTAAGTATATTCTTTGGCCTGAGATACAAATAATTTGGGGATGTACAACTGACAGTATGCAATAAAAAAACCTCAGAGGCTCATTTTCTCATCTAATAAAACTCAATAAACCCCTTTCATCACAGCCCCTTTTAAAGTATACATGCTGGCTAAACCTACTGTCCCATTCTGCACTTTCTTGGCATCCGGCTTCTTCCGCACGGTGGTAAAACTCCATTCGGGGTGGGAATTGTTCTCCTTGTTGCTAGACTCGCTAAGAAGCAAGAGAGGGGAAAGGTAAAATCAGTCAATAAATTAGAGAACCCGGCTAGGTGAGCTTGTTAAAGTTTTACAAGAGCGCTCAGGCCTTCCCGATCTGGACCACCTTGGTGCATTGAGACCCTCTGGGTCCATCTGCCCTCGTAGCCCCCTCCCCACCATCCGGACTCACGAATCCGAGCCGTCCGAGTCCGTTTCATCGCTGCTGTGTCCTTCTGCTTTCCATCTTTTGAACCTGTCGATCAGCTCTGTCAGGTACGAGGTCTTCTTGGCGTTTTTCAGGATGAATTTGTGCTTCAGCAGCTCCTTGGCTGTGGGACGCTGGAAAAGATAGCAAGCGTCAAGTTGTTTTCCGGAAGTACCTCACAGCACTGGAGATGATGTGGGCAGGAGAGCAAAAGGATGGCCTCCTTCCGCTAAGATCTGCTTATCAAATTCTCTTCCTCATCAACCATGGAAGGAAAGCCCAGGGATGGGAAAGGCCTTCCTCTGGAGAAGGAGAGCGCTCCAGAACCCATTCAAGACATGGCATCTTGGGGAGCCTTCTAGTCGACTCCTGATCTTCCAAGCCCACCTTGCTTTTTCCTGCAGGTGTTCATTATTAATTTACCTTTCATTCTGCAAAATTCATTCAGCATCCCAAATAACATAAAAAAATTAAAAGCTGATGCTAACCACTATTCCAGAAGTTCAGATCCCGACAGTGAGACATTAGAATGCCGTGAGATCGAAACAAGTCTACCGTTCGCGCACTCCAAAGCAATGACCCAATCTTTTTTGGCCTGAACAGTACATTCTCCAACAGCAACGATTAGAATAAACTTCTTAATGTTCTTTCTCTGGCATTCGTGAGTCAACACATGTTTTCTTGTGATCTCCAACAGCTCTCCACCTACATTAGCTTCTGAGTAATACTTGAGCCTTACAAATCCAACCAAAGAACTACAAAACTTCTACTATGTGTTTCATCTAGAATCTGACTCAAAGTTAAGCTTCAACCACCTCTGACTCATTCTTTGGCATGCTCCAAACATCCTGTGTGGTTTGAAACATCCTAGGTCAAGCCACAAAAATAACAACATGCGTAAAAGTTATCCTGCTGTTTTTTTGGGTGCAGAGAAGACTGCATCCCTCAAAACCCTGCAAGCATGAGGATGATGATGCATCAGCATCCATTTGGCTTTTTTTTTAGAAGGCTGCCCACAAGATGGTCTTCCCTCCAGATCCAAGGGCTGGGAACAGCCAAAAGCACACTCACAAACGTCGGGTCCTTATTCAGACAGGCGTCAATAAACTCTTTGAAGGGTTTGCTGAACTCTCCGGCCAGGGTGGGGGGGTTGTTTTTGGGGATGAGGAAGAGGACTCGCATCGGATGCATGTCTGAATTCGGAGGCTCCCCTTTGGCTAGTTCGATGGCGGTGATTCCAAGAGACCAGATATCAGCCTGCAGAGAAGAGAAAGGACAGAGAACCTGGCTAGCTATTTTGAACCAGGTCAAGAATTCCCTCTACACAAATTGTGGGTTTTAACCCGAACTGTGTGATGTGGGTCAAGGCTCTTTCAAGTTTCAGGAACACCTTTAAACTCTTACTACGTCTTTCAGTTTCAGCCCTGGCAGTCAGGCTTATGATAAATTGGGGAAATGTTTGATCCCGGGGAAGAACAAGCCGAGCTGATGGACGCAAGGAGGTTATGGGAAACTGAGATCAATAGGAAGCCTGGAAAATGCACTGTTACAACTCTGCTCTGGAGGAGGAGGAGGAGGAGGAGGAGGAGGAGGAGGGCCTCGCTCACTGCACGGGGAGAACTGCAGACCCTCCTCTCAGTTCTATACTGGACTGGCTTTTCGGGAGAAGATCCAGGAGTTTTTCATCTCAAAGCTTTAAGGCACGGATGGCAAAAAAAGCTGAACCTCACTGAACGTAAGATAACAGCCCGAAGATGCAACGGGCATCCAGGCTCCCTTGGCACTTGATGTCATCACCCCGTTAGTCAGTCCCATGAACCATTTATTTATTATCTGTATATCAATCAGTAGGAGGGGTAATTTCCTCTTAAGATTTAAGAGATATACAGGTAGTCCTCGGCTTATGATCACAATGGAGTCTAAAATTTCTGTTGTTAAGTGAGACTTTTGTTAAGTGAGTTTTGCCCCATTTTACAACCTTTCCTGGAACTGTTCTTAAGTGAATCACTGTGGTTGATAAGTCAGCAACACGGTTGTTAAATAAACCGGGTCTTCCCCACGGACTTTGCTTGTCGGAAGGTCACAAAAGGGGATCACGCGACTCTGGGACACTGCGACCGTCATAAATACGAAGCAGTTGCCAAGCAGTTGCCACGGGATCATGTTGTAAGTGTGAAAAACGCTCATAAGTCACTTTTTTTCAGTGCCATTTTAACTCTGAACTAAAGGAACGGTTGTTAAGTCGAGGACTATCTTATTAAAAAAAAAAAAATCTCACTACAAAATGAGCTACGGTTCTGGACTGTGGCCACCAGGCTCTCCCCATGTTCCTGCATAAATGGAACCAACCCTTCAAGGCCTACAAGGGACCTTACTTTGGAGTCGTAGGCCGACTGCTGAATGACTTCGGGGGCCATCCAGAAGGGCGTCCCTACGAAAGTGTTCCTCTTGATCTGAGTGTCGGTCAGTTGCCCAGCTACTCCAAAATCCGCAAGCTTTACATCTCCTTGCTCAGACAGCAACACGTTGGCAGCTGGTTGGGGCGGGGGGAAGAGAAGAAAAACTTCATTTGACAACAAAAGGAACTTGGGGTCTGAGGGAAGCATCTTCCCTCCCTGTGTGTACCCACCTTTGATGTCTCTGTGGATTTTCTTTTCGGAGTGCAGGTAGTCCAGCCCTTTCAGGATCTCCTTGAGCATCGTAGCAATCTGGAATTCGTCAAAGGGGCCAGCACGGAGCTTGAGAGGAAATAAGCAGAGTTTATACGCTTTAACGGAACCCCGACTGCCTTGAAAGGCACTCACCTTCAGCCTGAAACACCCATTTTGTTTCCTTTTTAAAGGTCTTAGGACAATAGAAAGAGTCAAGCTGTATTTCCATTTCAGCAGAAATGGCTCTTCATCAAAAGTTCTACGTAACTAAACTAAATATACCTGGAAAGAAAGCTAGGCCATTATCACAAATAAATCTGGGTGTTGTGAACATGCTAGTTTCCTCAACTCTTATCTTCTTATCTCTTACTTCATTACCAAGAAAACCTCTGAACTTGTCAAGATCAGGGGAAGCACTCAACCTACGACTGGTGTGCAAGACTCGGGAACCAGATCAGACTTCAAGGCAACAATCTGTTGCCCACAAGCCACTTCTGTCCCCAGGGGAGCTTCTCTTGGCAACGAAGCCCATCAGAAGCTCCAGAATCAGAGCAAAACCCACCAGGAAACATTCTCAGGATTCAGGGGACTACTCTGCGGTGCGTGCCGGATCCTGCCCGTAGGAGAAACGATTCCTTGGGGCTGCAGACAGACTCTCTTCGGCTCTCTTCACATCAGTTCCTCTAGCCCAGGGCTCTGCAAACTCAACAACTTTAAGACTTGTGGACTTCAACTCCCAAAATTCATCAACCAGCCATTTCTCGACTTCAGCTACTGTAAGAGAGGTGGACTTCAACTCCCAGAATTCCCTAGCCAGCCTGGAGGATTCTGGGAGTTGAAGTCCATATCTCTTAAAGCAGCGGAAGTTGAGAAACGCTGCTCTGGCCCACGTGAGCAGGTCTTTGCTTTCCTGGGTGCCAGCCAAGAGCTGAACTGGGCTGCAACAGCAAAGCCAAGCGTAAGCAGATGCTGACGTCCTCAGGAGACACAAGCAGGCTTCAACCCCCACGTTTCAGGACCTCCTAGATGTAACTACTGTAGCAGAATTATCTCAGAGGAAGAGGATGGGTCTCCCGGTGAGGCCTGTGGTCAGGCTGGCCTGGGGGGATAAGGGAAAACCAGACGTCTCATTCACAGCCCTCTGCCTTCTCAGCCCCTCCTAAGCTGCAGCCACTTTGAAGGCTGCGCCTGTCATCAGCAATGGGCCCTTTCAGCTTTTAAGTTTACAGGAACTCAAAATGGAAATGCCAGCTCAGTTTTAGCACTAAATATTAGCCGTGTTTGCTTCCACAGCAAGCTCTCCGGCTCTCCTTCCAACAGAAACATCTCTCTGTGTTGAAAGCTATTTTTTTTTTTTTAAAAAAAAGTCCACTTTTCAATTTATTAACTGAAGTGGGTAGCTTTTCATAACTGCAAAGTTTCCTTTTCCTAAAAAGTCAAGCAGCACATTCTTTATTCTAACAGATGTTTATTTACGTCCTGAGCCGGACGGACGGCAACTCTGTAGCTCTGCCACCAGACTCAAAGGGACCCACTGAGTCCCTGCAGAAAAATCTGCGCTAATAGAAAACATCTTTGACTCGGGCGAAGGAATTCCGCTCCCTGCCCAAGGAGTGAGTCACAAAGGACGCTCAGTCGAGATTCACACCCTCCTGGGCCCCAGTGGCAAAGAGAAGCGACACTTATTTGTTTCTGCAAGAGGTCAACACTTATTGCCCCCGGGTCTTTGGGATGGACCGCCACCATTACCAGGTCTCTCCCTGGAGGTCCTGCAATCTGGAGAAAGTGGCATAAAACTGCAAACAGTGAAAGCCTGTTACAATCCACCACTAACAGAGCTTTAAAATGCAAACTTTGGTACTACACACAAATAACCAGATGTATCTTTTAGTGCAGCACACATTTGGAAATGACCTCTTCGCTCAAACATGAATTATATTTAGACTGCCTGAAATCAAAAGCATCTTACCAAAAAGGCCTGGAAGAGTGACTCGGGCTGACTAGCAATTCCAAAATTATGAAATGACACCACCCATAAAAATGGGAAAGCTTACAAAACAAATCAACAAAATTCATAAAGTAACTGGAATACTTACCAAATCCAGGGCTGATCCCCCACCTAAATATTCCATTATTATCCACAACTTTGTGCCCTAAAAGGAAACGCAGGTGAAGAGTTAGCTTTTCCTTCTTGATTTCTTTGCATCAGGGAAAGGGGGGAAGGGGTAGGAACAGTGTGGAATTTAGGGTGCTACAGTGGTAATATATCTGGAAGTAGCATTAAGCTGGCGAAGAACGGGACAAACGATCCACTGTGACCACAAAAAGAATGAACTGTGGGATCCTTGGGGCTCTCTGAGCTGGGTTGTTTGCTGGGAGACGTTTCATTACCCAACTAGGTAACCTCATCAGTGCTAGTGAGAGAGGAACCACACTAAGCCTGGCAGGGTAAGCGACTGTAGAAACAGGGACTAAATCCTGCACTCCCTTGCACTGATGATGTTACCTAGTTTGGTCATAAAATGTCTGCAAGCAAACAACCAACAAAATAACAGAGTTGGAAGGGACCTTGGAGGTCTTCTAGTCCAACCCCCTGCTCAAGTGGGAGACCCTGTGCCATTCCAGGCAAGTGGCTGTCCCGTCTCTTCTTAAAAGCCTGCAGTGATGGAGCACCCACAACTTCTGGAGGAGAGGGGTTCCACTGATTAATTGTAACCAAGCTCGAGACCAGGTGCGTGCAACCTTGGGAGATCCAGGGATTTCTCTTCTGGAACGGCACCACTCTGAAATTGCCTGCCAGCTAAAATAGGTTTGGGGTCCTGTTTGGGCCACATCGCCAAGGCTGAAGGGCTTTTTATTTGCATGTTAGTTTTGCTACCTCACTTTGGCTCTTACCACTCTTGTTAATACTTTAAATGGCAGTTGCGTGTTCTAATCTGCCCGTTTTAGAAAGCGGTGCTTATTTGTAGTGGGACGTTTTATTGGTTATATTGTGTGATTTTTATAATTATACCTGGTGTTTTCAGAAGAACCACAGGAAGCACCAAGACAATAATTTTTGAGCCCTCTGTCGTTTGAACCAACTTGAAGAAAACCTCTGTGTACATTCCAGAAAGTTGCTCTGTGACTGGGGTTATTTGTAGTAAAAAAAAGGTACTTTCATCTTTCCAAACAATGCGGTGATCCCAAGAAAGAGTTTCACCACTCAAGTATTTAGATCAGCAGCCAAATATGATATTTATAGCTGGGAACTTATCAGCCTCCCACTTTCCATTTAGAGATGAAGACAGCCGAGTTTCAGAAAAGGGGACTTCGGTCTTAAGCTAAAAACTAATCCAAACATCTGGGCAAATAGTCATGGCAGCCATTACCCTTCCCCTAGTCAAAAGGCTGCCAATCAAGGCCTTAGAACAGGGGTGGGGAACTATTGTATGGCCCCCTCTATAACTTGTAGACTTCAACTCCCAGAATTCTTGAGCCAGCCATGCTGGCTCAGGAATTTTGGGAGTTGAAGTCCACAAGTCATAAACGGGCCATAGATCCCCACCTCTGCCTTTGAAGGAGGAGAGGCCTCTGGGTGGAGGGGCTTGTAAGGCCCCCTACAGACAAGATGTTCTCCCATGCACCCATTAACAGAAAGCCCACCCTTCCTTTGTACCATTTGCTCCCTGAAGCCAACAAATAATGCCAATTGGAAGATTTGGGTCAGTTTTTGACCCAGAGCCTCCATTACAGATGAGTTTTAACCCAACAGCATTTCTCATGACGGATCGAAATCCAGGCACCACCAAATGAGGCATGTTGTGGCAGACTGAGGACCAGCTCCTGAACAGAGTACACTTTGTTAGGCAAACACACACTGCATTTACCCTCTACAAGTCAGAGGTTGGAAACTGAGATGTGAGGTATGTGCGCTACTTCTAGCACCTTCCATAAAGCTCATCTGTGCTAGTAGGGAAAACTGGAAACAGACGCTCATTCTTTCACCTGACTGGCGGCTTCATGGAGGCCTTGGGTGGGTACAGGGTTACTTAGACTGCCCTGCACGGAAAATGCCTCTGAGAATTTGCCAGTGTAAACCGCAACTGGGTGTGAACCATTTGCCCCTTGGCATCCAGCAGGCCACCTGGCTAACCGTTACAGACCAAGAATGTTTAATGCAGGTAGAAAGACACGTTTAATCTTTGGAGGAGGAGAGATGTGTTAGTCTATCATTCAGAAGCCTCTGAACAATGTTTGTTGGTCAGAAAAGGTGCAACAATGGCTTCTCCTCCTGATTTTTTCCATCACAGCCTTGACTCCACAGCAGAACTCAGATGCAATTCTGATTATGTTTTGGCGAGGATGACACAACTTAGACGTTAAAGAAAAAAATCTTTGTATTGCAATTCCTGTGGAATCTGGAGACTGTGACAGTCTAGACTGGAAGTTCATACATGAACTCTTCCATACAGGGTTTGGGATGGGTTGTGTCTGGACTGAAACATGCATGCCTAGACCATACCTGGAGTAAAACAAGGTGAGCTGACTCCAGATGCGGAGAGAAAACGCTTGCCACCTTCCGAGTTAGAAGGTAAAGTATTCGTGCTCACTCCAAACACAACCAACCAAAGCTGAACGGGGTGTACCACGTTCCACACTATCCATGGCTCCATGTGTGCCTGGACTCCCCCCCCCAACTTCACCCCTCCCTTGCAAAACCACCCATGTTCAACGGTCTCTGTTACCTTCAAATAGGAGCCGTAGTACTTGGTGACGTAAGGGCTGTCACACTGGCTGAGCACCGTGATCTCCTGCTGGATGTCTTCAATTTCATCCTCAGCCTCTTCAAGGTCGATGATTTTAATGGCCACCACATGTTGCGTCCGGTTATCAATGCCTTTAAAGACTTCTCCAAAGGAGCCTTTCCCGATGCGCTCCAGTTTGGTGAAAAGCTCCTCAGGATCTGCTCGGTGGTTCTGGAAGGGGCCAAGAGGACAAGCTCGGCTGAAGAGGCCAGGCACACCACTTCAAGGGGGATGTTACCAGAACTAAGGGGGAGGGTCTCTTCCTGAAAATCTGCAGGGAAGCTATTCCTAATCCTGGGAACAATTGTGTGGCCAATCTCGTAATTTGTATCCAAGTGTGCAACTGCACATTTTTAAATATGTTCACTTTTATTTTATTCATTAGAAGTTTGGAAGACAGACATACCCTGGGGTGGAGGAGAACAGGTCAGGTAAGAAATGCTTTCAGTTTCTCTTTCTAAGTATCACCACACAAATTACTCTTTTAATTGGCTCTCCCTAATTAGCCACAGGGGCGATTGGAAGATCTGGATCCCAGCCACAGCCCTGGGGGCACCGCATGCCTGCAACTGCCTTGACACCCACTGCAGTGCTGGTTCCATCTGACTTTTTCAACATTCAGAAAATACGTCGTCATCAACCGGAGGTGACCTTGGTCAACGACAAAGTCGGGCGCAAAGGACCATCCGTAAGACTGAGCTACAGGCAGTCCTCAACTTACAAGAGTTCATTTAGTGACTGTTTGAAGTTACAACAGCACTGGAAAAAGCGACTTATGAGAGTTTTTCACACTTATGACTGTTGCGGCATCCCCAGAGTCACCCGATCAAAATTCAGACACCTGGGAACTCGTACTTATGGTGGCTGCAGGGTCCCCAGGGTCCTGTGATCCCCTTTTGTGACCTTCTGAAAAGAAAAGTCAACGGGGAGGACGATGTGCCCAGCTTAACAACTGCAGTAATTCACTTACCAACTGCGGCAAAAAAGGCATAAAATGGGGCAAAACTCACGTAATAAATACCTCACTTAGCAATGGAAATTTTGGGCTCAATGTGGCCGCAAGCCGAGGACTCCCTGAGTAGATGATTTATTCAAGCCTCTGTACAAGAATGTGACCCACTAAAGTTCCACACTAAATTAGCACCAGATCAGGGTCAGCGGAATTCAAGAGGAACTGTGGGAAAGCAACAAGTCGCTTACATCACTGGCCTTCGCCAACATGTCCATTTCCAAGCATGCCTCAAAACAGAAATGGTGGATGGTGGCAATTATGACTCTCTTGCCCGGGAAAAGGACAAAAGAAAGCAAGGATCTTGATAAGGACTGTAAGGTCACAGGTCTGGGAAAACTGAGTTGGGGGCTCAGTCCAAGGTCACGTTCCAAGTCACGGAAAAGGATGGCCAGGCTAGAACAGAATGGCCCACCAGGCAGTCCAGAGGAAGTCAGAAGCTGCTACGTTAGTTGAACCTACTCCCAAGTAAGTTTAAATGGCTGTTTGAGTCTAAGGCAAGGCACTCCAACCTTGGCTGGCTGAGGAATTCTGGGAGTTGAAGTCCACAAGTCTTAAAGTTGCCAAGGCTGGAGACTCCTGGTCTAAGGTACTAGCCAGGGACCATGAGAGTTGTGGTCTACTCCATCCAGCTCTATTCTGGCTGAAGATTGGGGGTCTACTGGTGATCCCACAGTGTTTGCAGAAGATGGATGGGCCTTGATGTTCTGCAGCTCAGGGCTTCTACAAAGCCTCAGGGATCCCAACCTTGCCGAAAAGAGCCACTTTCCCAGAACAAGTTCTAAATTGTCCCTTTCGTGCACAAGCACCAATGGTTATGCAACACTTCCCGCTTGCCTAATGCTTTCTCTTTAGAAACCAGCTGATAATTACACAGGCGGCGGCCTTCCTTTCTCGCTAGAAAAGCTCAATATCCTCATGGAAACTTCCATTTCTACATCTTGGGCTTTGGCTCCGCACAACTGGCCAAGGCTACTCATTGTACACAGACAGGCCATTGCAAGATGTTCTGACAGAGCACCCCAAACATCTGAGAAACAAGCACATTCTTCCAAGGCAACATCGCCCTCCCCCTTCTCTCTCTCTCTCTCTCTCTCTCTCTCTCTCTTTCTCTTCTGAAGCAAGTCAGGAGGTGTCAGTGCCTTGGGTTCCAGGCATTTGGAAGTCAAGCAGGAATTTCCAGAACTTGATGTATTTTTAGAACAGCTGCCCCTGAAAATCCTGTTTAAAAGCGCAACAGCAGCTCTATGCAAAGATTGCTCCAGTTGAAAGAAACGTAAGCACATTAACTAATCCAGCATTCAGACCAGACCGGATCTTGGAAGCATTTACAACCCACATTTGCATTCGTAAAGCTGTCCCAAAGCCTTTGGGACGCTGAGAAAACAGTCAAACTGAGAGAGAAAGCAAGATGATTGATGGTGCTCTTCTTCTACAACAGGGGTGTCCAATCTTGGCAACTTTTAAGACTTGTGGACTTCAACTCTCAGAATTCCCCAACCAGTCATGAATGATAGAGTTGGAAGGGACCAGAAAGATCACCTAGTCTGGTGTTTCTCAACCTAGGCCACTTTAAGACTTGTTGACTTCAACTCCCAGAATTCCCCAGCCAGTCAGCCAAGACTTATCCTCTACCATTCTACACCCATGATGTCTGAATTGATGGTTTGGTTCATGCAATGTACTGATTACTCCATATGATGAACCAGTTATTACCAAACCCTGTCTGGGTCACCTATAAAATCTTCAGGCTTAACTAGATCATTTATCATTAGCTCTGCCTTGCAGAGAAATAATTGAACAATTTCATTAAGTCGCATCACTTGTTTAAAACTCTCCAGTTAAAAACAGAAGTCTGACATGCACAGAAGTTCCTCCTCTGTTTTAGGTCCTCAAAACAGAAGGATTGTTAGCTGTAACCGCACAGCCTACGCAAAATTAAGTTGGGCTCTGAAATTTAACATGCTAACAAGTCTCAGAATTACAGAGCCATCCATCAAACTAACATCAGACTGGCTGCTTCAGAGGCCAAACCGGAGCATAAAGCTGCTTTTCAGAGAGGGCTGTCTGAGCTTGAAGTCAAGAACAAGGCGTTGTGTTTTCCAAGCTCTCTGTCTTTTGTAAAGACACACTTTAATCAACAGTGTTTGATCCTCCCAGTTATAAACGCAAAGTAATCTGGAACTCAAGAGGAAAAGTGCCTTTTTTCCTGACAAAGCTTCATCAAGATGACAACAAAGCAAGCACAACAAGAAGAATCTTGTTCTTATAAAATGTACAACAAATTGTTGCCCTTCATTAAAATAGCGCCCAGAGACTGCAAACTTAGATAAACAGAGATCTCTCAGCAAGTTAAGATTCTTGAGAAACTGTTAAAACACTATTTGGCTTTCCACCTTTAATGGAGGTTAGTGAGATCCATTTCTGAGTACTACTTTTTTAGTCAATGAAATGTCTTGGAATCTCAACAATAGAGACAACAAAGGAGAGCGCTGAATGCAACTAATGGTCTTCGCAAACTGAAAATAGAAATATTTACAATCAACTTGTGTGAAAGAAATGAATCAGCAGCTTGTTTTGTGATCATTTCTGCCTGAAGGTACACAGTGGTGCAGGCTCAAAGTCTGTACGCTCACATTTTTCCCACAGGGAAACTATTAAGGGATCTTGAATTTCAGATCAGTTTACACTTCCTGAAAACAAGCCACAGGGACTTCAACACCATCCAGAACAAAGTAACAGGATAAGCAAACAAGCTTCAATAATGGTAATAATTAGAAGTGGCCAAATCCTTTCCTATCTTTTAATCATATAATGGTCCCTTTCTTTATTAGGAGCGTGGAGGAAGAAAGATGGCATGAGGAACAATTTAAATACTTGGAAGAAAGGATTGTTTAGATCATCTGTCTTCCTTTTAAATAATAATCCAATCTAAGTTAAAGATCTAAAGACAACAAACAAGGAGATGTTTCATTAATAGTATTTTGTTATCTTGATAGTATGGTAGAATGCTTTGAGGGAAACCACCAAGTTATTCTAGAAATTCAGAAGAGCGCAAAAATAAAAATAATTCAAAAAGGGAAAATTTGGGCAAAACAGATCAGATTTTAAAATCTGAACATCAAAGGGGTGCCTTGAAATTGCTGATATTTATTCACTGGCAAATCCACAAGGTAAACTGAGGAAAATGGGTTTTTTTCCCCCTTCACCCATTCTTTTTTCACAATCTTTTAAGCTGAAAGAATTTGTAATGAACTATTCCTTTTCACATACATACATACATACATACATACATACATACATACATACATACATACATACGCAATGCTTTTTTAGGAAGGGGGAGAGAAATTTCAAGGTGAATATCAGCTTAATATCAGCCTGATCAAGTGACTTTGTGTCAAGTTCCCATATTCCTCAGTGTACATTTTAAGATTACAAAAACGTATTTTAACTGAATTACCTGGCTAACGCTGAATGCTGCACACATGGAAAAGAGTTTTATACAGCACCAACATACGATGGACTGAGCCTCAGCAGAGCTGACAATCAAGTTAAGACTTCATCTGAATTTAGAAGACTGTTTCAAGCATTGGTGAGATGTCACATCATACATTACTCACATGTTAGTACATTATTCCTAGACAGGTACGTAGTTCTAAGGAGCTGGTGGGGGAAACCTGGGGGAGAAACATCATGGCCTGCCATTCAATCTTGGTTATAATTAAAAGGGGCCGTGTAATTGTTGTCTAGATGTCAGAAAGCCCAACATCACTCTCCATTTCTCCAACTTTAATAAACCAAGCTTTGCAATTCCAGACTCTTTGGACATGTTTTAATCCATCAGCACAGCCAACTGGAACTGTAAAGTTGGGCAGAAGCAGGCCACAAATCTATGGGACACCCGGTAGCTTCACCTTGGGAGGACAGGTGGTGTGTAAAAGGCAAAGCTAAGTTGTGCAAAACTCAACATACACAACCAAGATTAACCCTGATAATACAAGTGGAAGCGCAGAGATCAGCCTGCCCTGACTTGAACCAAACAATCTACAAGTTAAAACATAGATGTAAATATAGCCATGACATAAACAACCGCTCGCTCCCTGAAGGATCACGGTGCCTTAAGAACTGAAGGCTTTAGTGTTCCACAGAAAGCAACAATGAAAATGTCTGTTTCAACACCTAATTCTCTGTGATTGTTCCAGATCCTCCTGGTGGCTCTCCTGTCAAATGTTGCCCACTGGAAAAGTTCTTGAGTGCTCAACATTTGTGGCATCTGAGCAGGGCCGGGCACTGGGCACAATCGCTTCTAATCAGCAGCTTCAAAGGCCCTAATTCTCAGCAGAGAAGAAAACCAACAAGCCTTTTCTCAGTATTTGGCACTTACGGCGTGCTGCCTTGAACAAACAGAGAGCTGGATTGAGCTACACTTCCTGCACGCAGGGTTATGATAAACTTGTGGCCAGTTCACAGGAGCAAGTAACATGGGTGGAGATACTGTAAGGCATAGATAACCTTCATCAAATACATGGTGACTAACAGAGAATTATCCCATTCACCAGAAGACAGGGCAATTAATTTTGTACACAACTTCAAAAATACTGGAAATACTCTTTTCAAAACAACATTAGGCTATGGAATACAGGAGGCCCAAACCAAGATTGGAAAACTGGCAAGCCACTACTTAAACTTCACATCTATTCAATGAAGAGTGAGTACACTGATGTTTGGTGAATTCACATGAAAAACCAAACCAGACTGTGTTTCAATCATCCACTTCCTGCTTTCGGATGAGACACTTTAACTTTGCGTGTGTTGGAGACGTTGTCTTTGCCTTTAAAAGAGGGGTCCTGAAACATGCACCAATTCCTAGTAAGAATGGAGCAGATCAGCCAACGATCTACCAAATTAAGGAAGCACTTTGCAAACTTTAACAGGGTTTTGTTAAGAACAGATCCTGACAGGCTAACTTTATTTCAAGTCTTGATTCGGTAACTGCGCCGTAGTAGATTGTTCCACATTTGCCTTAGACCTGATGTATATCCTCATCCAAGCAAAACCTCTGGCAAAACATACTGCATCTCTAGGTTTATCAAACTAGATAAGCATTGGCTGGGTGGCATACAAATTAAGTGAACAGTTAGCTCAAAAAGCACTCTTCATTAATCGTTCTTCCTCAGACTAGAAGGAAATACCATGCGAGATACCAAAGGTTAAGTCTCAGGCTGTGCACATTCTTATTTATTGCATGAAGGAACGGGAGGGGGAATACTTATCATATTTATAGATAACACAAAATTGAGGGAAGTAACTAGTATCTTATTAGACTATAGCAATAAAATTCAAAATGATCTTGACAGATTAGAGAAAGGGCCTGAAGATGCAAGCATGAAATTTAACAAAGAACCTGCTCCAGATTAACAAAATTGAAAATCAAAAGCACAGGTAGAAAAAAAGAGACACCGTACTGGACAATACTTGTGGAGAATGTCTAGAGAAAGGGGTGGCTTACAGACTTGAGTATGAGGAAGTGATGTGGTATGGCTACAAAAAAGGCAGATGGAATTTTAGACGGCCTCAACAGAAGAACAGTTTTGAAAACACAGGAAGTCACCATTTATGCTGCATTAATCAGACTGCATGTTGATCACTGTGTTCAGTTTTCAGCGACACACATAGGAAGGGTTCAGACCAACTGGAGTAGATCCAGAAATGGCCAAGAGAATAACCACGGAACTGGAAAATAAGACAGAAGGGAGGCCCTAGAAATGTTTTAACCTTGAGAGGAGAAGAACAAAGAGCAATTTAGCAGCAGCTATCAGGATGTCACAAAGGGTATCAAATCATGTCCCCAAAGGACATCAAAGCCTGTTCTCGAATCATCCCAGAACACAGAACCCAGAACGGCTCAAAGGGACAGGTAAGCAGATTCCAAGTAAATATCCTGGAAAACAGTAGCGACTTCCTAAGAGCCTGATAGTGGAGCCAACTATCAAGAAAGATCACAGACTTCCCTTCACTGGATGAGCTCAAGCAGAAGGAGGTCAACCATCTGTCAGAGGTGGTTTACTCTGGATTTCTGCACAGAGCAGGTCCTTGGCCTGGGTGGTTAAAGCTCCCAGTAGCAAATTATCATTTATAGGAGGATGAAGAAATGAGCTGGAACCTAAAGGCTTAAGAAGGGGAAGAGCAGGAAAGAAAATGTGACTTGAGGCCTCATCATGACATGCCATGTATAGTGAAGAGTCCCTGACCTGGAAGTGTCTAAATGCGCTGCCTTAATTCCCCCCCAGGCTAGCCGGGATAATGATAGTTTCTTTCCTGCCTTATTATAAACAATGGTTAATTCAGCTGTCCATCCCTTAAGAGTCCTGTGGATTAAAGCTGCATAAAAGGCTCCTAAACAAACTAATAAATACATTTCCGATGCTGAGTTGCATGCAAAAACTAAAAAGGATGAGGAACAATCCCTGCTCTTTCCCGCCTAGGCATCTGAACCTGTTTCATAATAATAGGAAGCAAAACAAGATGGAATTAAGCAAGGATGAGAAGAATGAAACATAACATTAACTAATTTAAACAACCTTTAACACCAAAATTTAGAAATTAGCCTTTGGGGAATGTAACGTCTGGTTATAAACAGATTCTGCAGGAGATACAAAACAATCTGGAAAAGTACCAAAGTCTGAACTGCATCAAAACACTTTCAGGAGAGTTTCCAGCAATACTTTCAGGATCCTTTTTGCTCATCGGCCTTTTTGGGGGCTGGGGGGGTGAGGGGGGGGCAATGGAGAAAATAAAACTCACCTGACGGTTTATTGTCCTTTTGAGCAAAGTCAGATTGGGAAGTCAGGAGGGACCCAAGGCAGCCTTTGGCTTGGCTTCCCAAGAAGCCCCCAACTCTTTCCAGGGGAGAAAAATACAAAAAAAAAACACAAAACCCCCCACTCCAAAACAACAGCAGCTGGATTTGGGCTCTGCCAGAGTTTCCCTCCCGCCAGCAGGACCCCCTCCCCTTCCAGCCCCTCGCCCTTCCCCGGGCACCTGGCCTTTGCCCAGGGCTCCCCAAGAAAACGGGGGACAATTTATGAACTCCTCCAGGCGCAAAGGAAACCCCCATTTCAAAGACCCCTCAATGAAGGGGGAGGGAGTCGAGCCCCGGAGTCCCCTCGCCCACCTGCCAGTCCCGCGGGGGGTCCCGCCGGCGCTCAGCAGCCCCCCTGGCCCGTGGGGACCCCCAGCCCCCCCTTTCCAGGCAACCCACGCCCCCGACAGGGCCGGCGACCCCCGCGGGTGGGCAAAGACCCCAGCCAGCCCCCCTCCGGGCCCCGCTCACCTGCATGCCGGGCACCTGCACGGCCACGGGCGAGAGGGCCATGGCGGCTCCGGGGAGGAAGAGGAGGAAGGCGGCTCAGCTGCAACGGGGCCTGCGGGGGAGGCGGCGGGAGAAGCAGGCTGGGGGGGCTCCGCAGAGGCCCCGCCCGCCCAGGCCCACCCCGGACCCGCCCTCCGCCACTCCAGAGCCCATCCTCCTCGCCCGGCGGGCCCGCCGCCCGCCCTGCCCGGCGGGGCGGCGGCTCCGAGGCAGGGAGGGCCTCGCCGGGCCCCGGGCCTGCTCCCAGGGCGGGGGGGGCCGAGGCCGACCCCCGCCGTGCTTGGGGGCCGCCCGCCCGCCGCCGCCGCCCCGGCCAGCCCGCCCGCTCGCTCGCTCACGCTCACCTTTCCGCCGCGCAGGGGAGCCGGCGCCCGCCGAACTACAGCTCCCAGCGGCCCCCGCGCGGGCGCCGCCGTCTTTGCCGCGGGGGCTGCCGGGAGTTGTGGTGCGGGCGAGGCAGCCGGCGCTCGCAAGCATCGTAAAGCGGACTGAGCGGGCGGGGGCGGGGCAGGGCGAGGCAGGGAGGGGGGCTCCGCCCCTCTGCCCCCTTGCCGGGCATCCTCCCCGCTCCCCCTGTATTGAGCAAGGCTCCCTGGGGGCGGTGGGGCTCGGGGGTCGCTTCTTTGCCCCGTATCTTTGCTCTGTATCTCGGCAACGGGCCTTGCAAGAAGGAAATGTAAAAAAACAAACAAAAAACAAAGGCAGAACTCCCAAACTGCCTGGTCAGTTCAGCCTGGCTAAAAAATAGCATGAAAAGTGCTAATTGATTTTGTAGACTTTGGGGTTTTAGCACTTTAACAGCAGCCCACAGTAAAGGGGGGGGGGAGAGGAGGCATTCCTGGGAAGCAAAGTACACTTCTCCAGAAATATTAATTAAATGCAGGTAGTCCTCAAGTTACGATCACAAGCCCAACATTTCTGTTGCTAAGCAAGATAATTGTTAAGTGAATTTTGCCCCATTTTTCGACCTTGCTTGTTAAGTGAATGATTGCATTTGTTAAGTTAGCAACATGGTTTGTTAAGTGATTCTGGATTCCCCGTTGACTTTGTTAGAAGATCGCAAAAAGGGATCGCGTGATCCCAGGACACAGCCGCTATCACAAGTATGAGTCAGTTGCCAAGTGTCTGAATTTTGATCAGGGTCATGTGTGTGAAAAACAGTCATATGTCACATTTTTTGGTGCCGTTGTAACTTCGAACAGTCAATAAATGAACGTAAGTTGAGGACTACCTGTGTTTATGAAGACAGAATGTAAACGAGTTTCAAATTCTGGAAACCTGAGAAGAGCCGAGGTGCAGAAAGGGTTGTTCATCTTAAAAGTGAAATGTTGGGAGTTGCTCTGCAAGGCTCCACCAGGACAGTGATGGTGGACCTATGACACACGTGTGATGGACCATAACATGTTGGGTGACATGCCAGCGTTCACCAACACCCAACATTATCAGTGGCTGTGAATATGTAAAGAATTGTTTCCCTTTTGTTGGGGTGTGTGTGTGTGACCCAGCAGCGCAGTCAAACATTTCCTGAATTTTTGACATGCCAAGCCCAGAAGGTTCACCCTCTCTGTTCCAAGACGTTTCCTCCTGCTCTCTCCAGCGCCCAGAGGCTCTTCCTAGCAGCGTCATTCTCCCTGGAAAGAGGTTGGGCCACTCTAGCATGGGCACGCTGCTTATGCCCCTGGGGTTGGCCGCTTAATGGAAAGAATGCCCTAAGCTTGGATTTGGGCATCTGTGCATCAGCAGCCATGGTGGCTGTTCAGCTGGCTACTTTGAATTAATGAAGTCTTCATCGGAATGGAACGGGGCAACCCATCACAGTCAACTCGTCACGGCCAATTCTGTGCGGTCAACTCGCTGCAGGACGATGTCTTCCTGGCCAACTCACTGCAGGAAAACCAGGATTCACCTGGTTCCTTTTTGTTTTGTTGTCGACCATGTTTTTGTCAGAATTATTTTATCTTTTATATCAAAGGAAGATACTCCTATGACTACCAGCTTTTGTGATGCTCTGATGAATAATAAAAGGAACTAATCCCGCATTGAATTGTCCTGCGGTGAGTTGCCAGCAGTCTCTGCAACTCAACAGTGTCATTCAGGCCAGGGATTGATCCAAAGGAACCTGAGGCCCAGGTGTTTCTTCCCTGTTTATCAGGCAGAAATCCAACAGGGAGTGTCTTTGCCCATCTGAACGTGTCTTGCTAGAAAACATAGCATGCTGGTCGCTTTTTAAACAACTTCCTGAATCCTCCCCCCCCCCTCCCTGCACAAGAGGCTTCTAAGTATGTGTAAGAGAGAGATTGGTTTAATCATATGGGACTTCTTGCTGCTTTCTCTGCTTCCTTTTTCATGAAAGCTTCACCTTCGTTCATCCACTGCCTTCTAACCGCCAGGACATTTCTGAGGCACAGTAGTTACACCGACTTCCCACCCTGCAGGGCAGATCAGGAGAGGTGCTTGTGAGGAATAATCCACCTTGTCTGGGATCCAGTTTGATGCTTAGTGTGGTGAGAAAAAATAGCCCTTTGGGAACTGATTGGCCACATCAGCTGCCCTTTGCAACTCTTCCCATGCCAGTTTTATAATATGCGCTCCCTCTTCTGTTAGTTCAATTTCTTATAGATTATGACAATGTCTGCTCTCATAATGGTTGAGCGCTCCTCTTTTCACCCCCATGTCCATCATAAAAATAGTTTCTGAAGGTGGGATTGTTTTTGTCATATGCATGCAAGATTTTTTTAAAAAAAAAGTTTCCATCATTAACAGGCAAGATATATTGTTTCACAGGCAAGGTAAAGTTTACAAGATCTTAAAAAGATGCTGTAGCACTTTACATCCACCTTGCTAAACATTCTTTCAGCTGGAAGTTCTCCACTCATTATAATAGGTACTGGGGTGGTGGGAAGCAGTGTCCATTCCTAATGGCTCCGTTCTGCCCCCTGGCGTCTGATGTTCTTCCTATAAAATTTGTATTTTAGCCCATGAATCTCTGCTGCTGGCTTCTTACAGTTAGCTAATAGGTAGTAAGTGGTGACTTTCCAACTTCATCACATGTACAAAGCTAACAACATACAACATTGTATCTCTTTTTTCACAGAGATGGTTCAAAGGGGTTGAGAAATTACCTCTTTTTGTCACCCTTATTCAACCAATCAGATTTTAGGCTGCCCTTCATTTCTTGCACAAGACTTTGTTTTTATTATCTGCGATCCATCCTGTGCAGATCTCCCAAAATTGCACGTACATTTTAGAATTAAAAAGAAAAAAACCCTTCTTGAGGTTTCAACATCTCAGGATTCCCCAATGTGTCTCATTTATCCATTGTTTAGGATTGGAGCAATTAGTTGATCCTGTGCCAGATGCTGCTATTCCATTGGTATGTAACTGGCTGCCTTGTTACCATATTTGGAAGCTGGATACAGATGAAAAACAGAGAGACTCTAAAAATAAACAAACGAATAAATAAATGGGATCATGTGGGAACACACTGGGGCCAATCTGAGGCCCGACACCTCTTTTTTGAAAAAAACAAAACAAACAAACAAAAAAAACCAAAAGGGATTCTTTACGTTAGAAATGGTGTGGGGAAAGATATAGGCTGCTCCAGTTCCTGGCAAGTAGGAATCACTAGTTTCTCGAAAGAAAAAAAGAGAAAGAAACCATAATGTGATTTGTACAGTTTTGACTGTCTGCTCTGTGAACCAACCATGTTTACACCATGGTTTATGGCTGTGTATACGATAGAGGTGATTACCTGTAGCTCTGATATAGGATGAGGATGGAGGTTGTGGGTTGGTTTCCAAACATTTTACCAGGCTAGGTAACATTTTCAGCGGAATTTAGGAAATACATTCCCTAAATTTATTCCCTAAATTCCGCTGAAGATGCTACCTAGCCTGGTAACGAAACGTTTGGAAACCAACCCAGAAGCTCGGAGAACGAAGGAGAGAGAGAACCTCCACCCTCATGGCTGAGCATGTTAGGGGAACCCAGCCTATTGTGATATATTCAGCAAATCATGGTCAAGAAAACCAGGACATCACATGACTTGTGACCCAACCTGCATATTGCTCTGTGCATAAGTATGTTAAAGATGGGGATGTACACTGAACAATTTAGCAACCCTGCGGTGTTTCCATCTTCATCCACCTCAAAACACAACACCTCAAAGAAGAAGAAGTGTAAGACGTAATTCAGCCTGGCAGGTTTATGAAACAGGAAGGGGTCTAGAAGAAACAGCAAGCAGAAATCAGAAAGAGGAAGTTACAGGAAACAGGTGAGTTTTGAGCTGGTGTTTTAACACTTGCTAAGATACGGAGCAAACCCCGTTCTTGGAGAGCTGGATTAGCCAGTCTATGGCAGCCAAAAACCAGAGTCTGGTAGCAAAAGGCTTTTTTTGTTTTTAGATTTTTATCCTGCCTTTTTTAAAACAAAAAACAAAAAACAACAACCTCAAGACGGTAAACATACTTGACACATACCTGATACCGCTCTTCCTCCTCCTTTCCCCACAAGAGATAAGTTGGGCCAAGAGAGAGCACAAAGTCACCCAGCCAGTTTTTCAAGCCTCTGGTGGGACTAGAAAGCTTGATAAGAAGGTGGATAAAACGCATTGGCTGGCAAAACTGCTACTTGGCTCCTGCTGATTTTGAGCAGTTCCAAGTATCTTGTTTCGGACTGAAAATCCTAGCACTAAGCTCTTTGATTACAGATAGTCCTCGACTGATAGCTGTTCCTTTAGTGACAATGTGAAGTTATGACCGGGTTGAAGACAGTGACTTACAAGCGGGCCTCATGCTGATAATTGCCAATGTCTCTGCACTCATGTAATCAAAATTTGGGTGTTTGGCAACTGCCTATATTTTGGACGCTTGCAGCAACCCGGGGTCAGGTGGTCCCCATTGGGACCTTCCCTTTCAACAAGCACCTGTCATCATACAGATTTGAAGCCCAAACTGGAATCACGGAGGGGGCCTTGAAAACCCTTACAAAGCGAGAGACCTCAGAATTGCCTTGAGTCACAAGATGGGCAGCAAATAAATTTGATTAAATAAAATAAAGTAAAACCAAAAAGGGAGAAATCTAACCATCTTGGATTTAAAGGGACTTTCCAGAATCCTTTCCTGGGTGTTCCTGCCATGTTCTGGATGAATAGCCACTTGGTGCCTACATTTTTATTCATCAAGGTCCTGAACTATCATTGATGACTTTTCATCAGACTATTATTTTATAAGCTGTGTTGCGAATGTGTTGAAAAAAAGCGAGGGAGGGCACGACTTCGTTTACTGAGAAACGCTGGGTAATTATTGTCAAAACCCCCCACAAAAACCAACCTTTGTTGGCTGGTCTATGAACTTGAGAACAAATCAATGAAAAAAAAGCTCACCAACCACTAAGAACATCAGCCATGGGGGCCTTACAAGTGCTAACCCGCAAAGTATATCATAAAATGAAAG